TAGGCTACAAACACACGGGCTACTTTAAGATTAGGCGCTCTCAAAATTATTCAGTTAGTTTGTATGTGTCTTGCGTTTTTTATCTTGTCGCACGTTTTTTATGTGTATAGGGGACATTTCAAATGCATCTAAATCAACCATATATATATGACGTCAATGAAGCAGACGACAAATTTATGACGTAATTCGCATACCAAAGTTGTTTTTATGACGTTAAAGAGCATCGTAGTCTCAGTTTATGGTAAACTTTACCAGTCACAATGTGCTTAGACTTATACTTGACTTGTGCTTACGTAAGAATGGTCTTGAGAATTTTCTTGAGACGGTATTTTTAAAAGTTTCTTGCATAAGAAAAAGTGAAGCATGACTTTGTGCTTACTTTAAGAATTTTCTACGAACCGGGCCCAGCTGTTAATTATTAGTGGGGTTGGATGGCCGAATGGTTAGCGCGAGCGCATTGTATCATAAGGTTTGTCAATGAGTCAACTGGCGTGGTTTTGATTCCCCGGTTGTACGTGACAAGGAGCAGGGTCGCCTGTCCAACCTCGTGGGTTTTCTCGGGGTCCCCCGGTTTCCTTCCACTGCTTAAGACCCCTACGCGCATGCGAATTTTTGAAATAAAATTGATCCGTGTGTGTCGAGTGGAATTTCAACCCTATTTCTCATTAAAATTAAAAATCTTTAATTTGTGACCGATGCCTGCAAAATAAGTCACGTGGGTGACTTCACCAAAATTGAGTTCTATACATTTCTTGAAAGCCACAACTGTAGGATTTAAAATGCAACAAAATTCCCGTTCGGGCTACTGGTTGTAAAATTAGTTGACGTGAAATAGACCAAATCAATAATTTCACCGCTGACTGATGTATGGCCTATAGCGCAAAATGAATGAAGGCGACTTCCGACTGATTTTGCTGGCACCGGTCACATTGGGTGTCGTATTTCTAATAGATTTGCATGTATACTTACTTTTAGTACTTATTTTTATTGGGTATGCTTAGGTCTATGTTTGTATATCATACTAGTACATGTCCACCAGTGTGTTTGCAAAAGCTTCAAGACTAATCAAGTCTCTTTTTGTAACTTAAAATACAATATAATACAGAGTACGGATTGTTGCGTCACACTTACCCAATATTCGGAATTTTAATACTACATGTAGTAATTTTCATTTTCAGGGTAAATAGAGGGTCTTTGGAGTAGGGGATTTAAGCAAAAAAATATTACCATCAAATGACCGTGAAATAGCTTTATTTAACGCCTGCTTTCACCGAAGTGATATTTAAAGGAGCCAAATCGCTAATATTTGGGATCTAGAAATTGACACAAATGGGTCGCAACGCATTTAATAATTTAATATGAATGTATATAAACTGATTTAAATTCAATCGTTTCTGTTTTTACTGTAATTTCTAATCAGTTATGTTCGGTGAATTACGCCAGAAGTCTCAATTGAAGACAATCTTTAGCGTCTTGTTATTCCAGTCTAAACCGATGGTATTTATTGCGCATTCTCTCCAGATAAGAATATAGCGTCACCATTCGACATGACTTGTGGAATCTTTGAGTCCCTTGTTCCAAATGGCACTGAAACGCAGTATGGTACACGATTCGTGTACCAAAGACAAAATGTTTATTTTGTCTTGAATATTGGATATCAGAAGCCCATCCTTTCCCTGTACGATCTCAAGACCAATATTGATTTGAATTGACAAATAATTCGTGTTTTCAATGTCGAAGATTTTTGATGATATTGAGTTAGAGACTTAGCTATTTTAATGATCGGTTTTCAAACTTAAATCTTTAAGTGCCTGCGTTAGGATTCTTACTCTTTCCCATCTATATCATGCCATGCATTCGACATTTTGGTGGCCAAAACAGGATTTTACCTTGTAATGTTGAAATTGCTTTTTTTTTATGTACATTGGCATGACCATTATTTGCGTTAAAGATACTGTGTGATTTGATGATGACTAAAACATATTCAATCTAATTAAAGGGGAATTTAATGGGAGATTAGATGAAGAGATTATAGTTTTCGCTATAATAGTTAAAACATAGATAACGTAAATACATGTATGCTGAAAATTTCAGCTCAATTGCTCCACTATGAACCGAGATATTAGCTTTTAAAGTAGCTAAGTCTCTAACTCAATATTATCCAAAAACTTCGACAATGAAAACACTTATAATTTGTCATATATAATCAATATTGGTGTTGTCTTTTTACCGGGTAAATATATGCTTCTGATATCCAATATTTAAAGACAAAATAAACGTCTTACGATTGGTACACGAATCGTGTACTATAGTGCGTTTCAGCGCAATTGGTAACAAGCGACTCGGAAGAACGAGGTTAGACATATTCCACAAGTCATGTCAAACGGTGACCCCATATTCTTATCTGGAGAACATGCGCAATAAATATTATCGGTGTAGACTGGAATAACCAGACGCTAGAGATTTCCATTCGATTGAGACTTCTGGCGTATTTCGCCAAACAGAGTAAAAACGGAAACGATTGAATGTAAATCAGTTTATTTACATTCATATTACATTATTATATACGTTGCGACCGATTTGTGTCAATTTGTAGGTCCCAAATATTAGCGATATAGCTCCTTTAAATTTTAGGCTAGCCTCGATCATCATTAGTCGGTACGTTAAAAAACAAAGTATCGATTATCCATTTCTACGTTTAATTATCATTCACAAATTGTATTCCAATCCAGTTAATATGTGTTAATAGCGAAAGGAACCGAGTTCTTTGGGATATAAACATATATTTTAAGTTTCATCAAAATCAGACAAATATTGTGACCTCTTACTTTTACACTATTTGCGTTCAAGGGGCGGCCATTTTTTCGGAAAGTTTCGGTTCCATTTGTACGAAATTCGGACTCAATTATCATCAGGGTGTAATGGTGATATATTTGTAGGATTTTTAAAATCTGACAAAAATTGTGACCTAAAGAGGAGTCCACAAGCTAAAATCGCGATGTTTTCTTACAATCAGTCCGATATGCGCGAATATCGGCAGGATCCGAAATCGTTGGGACATAAACCCGTGTTTTAAGTTTCACCAAATCGGATCAAAATTGTGATCTCTAGAGGGTCCACAACCTTGATATAACATATTTTTTACACTATTTACGATCGGGAGGCGGCCATTTTGTCCCGCAGTTTTAGTCTGATTTTCACGAAATTCAGACTCGACCGACATTATGGTGTAACGGTGATATATTCGAACGTGTTCTTAAATCGGTTAAAAATTCACAACCTTGATATTTTTACACTATTTGCGAACAAGGGGCGGCCATTTTGTCCTGCAGTTTTTGTCCGATGTTCACGAAATGCAAACTCGACCGACATTATGGTGTAACGGTGATATATTCGAACGGGTTCTTAAATCGGATAAAATTGTGACCTATAGAGGGTCCACAAGGTAAAATCGAGATTTTTTCGTAAATTCAGGGGGCCATAATCAAGAAACTTGCGGTCCGATACGCGCAAATATCGAAAGGAACCGAGATCTTTCGGACTTAAACCCTGGACCTAGCCTAATGCTTAAACCTAACTCTACCCTACAATCACGTGCCCTAACCTTATTTATACCTCCGCGACCTTGACTAAAATTGAGTTGGCCTTAACAAATAGATCTAGCCGGTTAAAACAGCAGATAGAGACAAACTTCCGGTAACCACCTATCCATTTAATAATTACTATTCTCCTGCAGCCTAAAATCTTTGTAAACATGTTTATCTAATTATATTGAGGGTTAATAAAACCCAAACAGAAGCAGACCTAATCAAATTAGCTTCATATATAAATCAGTTTTAGAAAAAAAAAATGTTTTTTAAAGTGTAGTCAATTGAGTTAAACTTTTAGGTCTGGTGCGTGTTGGTCTGAAATGCGGCGATTGAACTGATCCCAACGACGTAATTAACTCAACTGAGTGACGGGTGCCACGTCCAATTTAAAATCCAGTCTGAATAAAGATCTAATTGGAACCCTTAATAAAATAACAAACAGGCGGCATTAGCAATGCTGAATCTTTTCCAATATTGAGCACGGTGGTTCATTTGTATATCGCTGAAAACCAGATTTGCAAACATTAAACGTCTTACTTTGAGTGAAATTTTGCCCGGGCACCACCATGTCTGGGTGTTTCGTCCCACACAAACGGCATAGGGGATACTATGCGAAAACATCCCGAAGAACCTTCTGGGTAAACACCGTGATCTAACCCAAGACCTCTTGGACAGCGAACCAGTTTCATACTGACTGAGCGACCGTGGTGGTCCCCTTACCAGTATGGACGGACTGGTACTCTCTGATTAAAATCAGACATCAATTGTTGCACTGAGCGCGATCTATCGTTTTGCAAAGAAGAAAACTCTGCTTGGGAGAATGGAAGATCGACGAATATGCGTTAAAAACGTTGACCACCGGTACCACTGTAAAAAAAAGAGAAAAATTCTTTCAGTTCATTTATTCTTCATTATCACACATGGGAGATACTTGTTGTTTTTGTCGCAGGCTGTTGAAACCCATATTCACAATCTGCGAAAACAAACAATTTCAGTGGAAAATGTTCTATGTTTTGTTAAGCCCATAGGCCTTCGTCCGGCCGGCTGGATCGATTGATGCAAAGACTACATATGTTGTCTTTGAAAGACTGCAATAGTTCAAGGCTATAGATGATAATGTTTTTAAAATCGTGATATATTATCCCATGATGTTTATTTTCATCTAACAAGTTCGTTTAATTTCCTGTCAACGAAAATGACGTCTACTCTCGGAAGGTTACAAATTTTGCTTACGAAGAGTTAACTTTAAATAGTTCTATCACGCTAACCACAAAAGTGTGATCTTTTGATGTGGACGGACCCATGCGTGTCTGGGATTTGCCACCCTTTATTATATGTTTATTTGTTTCCCGTTCTAATTGATCGACGGTGGATTTATCAATAACAACTCTCTTTTCTCTTTATTTACAGACGTCATAATTATACACAATCTGAACCAGATGAAAGGGCGCCATTGTTATTTTTAACAGACATCGGAAATATCACTCCGCTTTTGTGGACATCATCTATAGGTGGTAGGTACTTTTCAGTTCTTCTGAAGATTTTTTAGGCCATTTTATCTGTCAAAACCATAAGATAAGCGATATATTAGTTTTGAAATGATCTGAACAAATTTTCGTGTTCGTGTGAATAATAGCAAAGTAGATAAATACTATTTATATCTTGGATAAGCGATGGATGGGTTGTTTTATGGTCCTGTAAGTAGACCTACAGTAAGCTTCTGCCGACAGCTATAAAAATAAAAGGAAATGAAAATGAAATGAAATGGGGTTTAACGTCCTACTACTCTGCTCCTAAACTGGGCTAATTAAGACGGGCATACGCCATACAGTGTGCTATGAGGGAAATTTTGCCCGGGCAGCGGCGCTACGGCCTACTCTTATATCGAATTCCAACTGCCAAGGGATCTTTTACGTGTACGCCAATATGTACACGGGACCTCGGTTTTTCGTCCCGTCCGAACGATTAGACAGCTGTCCTTTTCAGGCCCTCCGTTTTGCATCACTGACAAGGGGGAACCACGCCGGAAATGGGAAAAAACGTCTAACTTTTCTACTTTCTGTCTACTCTTCATAAAATTCTAAATGCCAAGGCAATCTGATTAAACTACAGACCTTTCGTTTTTTATACTTTTGATGGCCTTCTCTATATCTGAACGGTTGTAGTGGGACGTCGTGCCAGGGGTCATACGAGCGATCTATGACGTCAGACATTTGATTAACCAGTCAGCGTTGCTGTTTCTAGCGGGATACCCACAATTCAGTGCACTGCGTGACAAGAACTCGCCGCAGGAGACAGTTTCATTGGCTAATACCTCACATCAACCAGAACTCAGGTTATGTAGCAGCTCTTCCAGATCCTAGTGTAGTAAAGACAACTAAAACTAAATTTTGAACGATAGACCGTAGCGCCGCTGTCCGGGCAAATTTCCCCATGGCACATTGTATGGCGTATGCCCGTCTTCATTAGCCCAGTCGGAGGAGAACAGTAGGACGTTAAACCCCATTTCATTTAATTTTATTTTTATGTGCAGGCCAACCGCTATATGGGATCTGTTTTTATCGTCCCACCCGAACAAATAGATGTTGTCCCTTGTCAGGCTAGAAAATCCTGAAGACTTCTTTGATTCCTGTTCGATGCTCGATAATTCTAGGTTCCCACTATCACGATTCGCGCTACGATTGAAATCGTGGAGTAATCGTGGTGATCCTATCAGGTCTTATCATATATTGAGGTCAGTCGTAGCAATTATGTTGTTCGTATCGAAACATATCCGAACGTATCTGCACGTACCAGATCGTGGACTCGATAGGGACAATCCTGTCATAAAGCATCGCACCTAGCATAACTTTTAAATTCATTCGCCTCTGACTAACACACAAACTACTTGTGTAATTCCCCATGGCTTCAGGAATATGGCCAGTGTACAAACCATTCCAATGAAGTCGTACAAATACGCATCGTTCCAAGTAGCTGACTCCAATTCTTTAACGACGGACAATAGATCAGTCTCCTGTGTTCACCTGAACTTCGGCGTGTTTATCCGGATTGATTCCCATATGCAGCGTGTGCTAATTTTATTTCTGGTCAAATATTAAATAATATTCCCGATTCTTTGACATATGAATGTTATGTAAGAACGTAAACTTAAAGATACAAAATATTACATCTCTAAAGATACAAAATATCACGCCTCTAAAGACACAAAATAACGCGACATTAAAGACACACAATATCACAATCTAAAGATACAAAATATCACGCCTCTAAAGACACAAAAAACGCGACCCTAAAGACACACAATATCACAATCTAAAGATACAAAATATCACGCCTCTAAAGACACAAAAAACGCGACCCTAAAGACACACAATATCTAAAGATACAAAATATCACGCCTCTAAAGACACAAAAATCGCGACCCTAAAGACACACAATATCACAATCTAAAGATACAAAATATCACGCCTCTAAAGACACAAAAAACGCGACTCTAAAGACACACAATATCTAAAGATACAAAATATCACGCCTCTAAAGACACAAAAAACGCGACCCTAAAGACACACAATATCAAACGATACAAAATATCACGCCTCTAAAGACACAAAATAACGCGACCCTAAAGACACACAATATCTAAAGATACAAAATATCACGCCGCTAAAGACACAAAATAACGCGACCCTAAAGACACACAATATCTAAAGATATAAAATATCACGCCGCTAAAGATACAGAATATAAAAATACAAAATATCACGACTTTCGAGATATAAAATATCATGACTCTAAAGACACAAAATATCATGACTCTAATGATATAAAATATCATGACTCTAATGATACAAAATATCACGACTCTCAAGATATAAAATATCACGACTCCGAAACTCAAAATCTAATTATCAAGAAAACAAGATTTTTAAATAGCTGCTCCTCATTAAAAAAAATAACAGTTATAAGTGTCTAAATGTGAAAGGTGGAAAGGCGATTTCTTATTATCTCTTTCATTTTAAATAATAATGTCTTCAGTTTATCTACGTATTTATGAATGACAAACAGTTTATTTTAAGTTAACTTTTAAATCAGTATCTCCTGTCGTTTTTCGGCTTTTGAGAATTGAAAGCCTGTTCAAATGCGATGCCGACAACTGAATTTGATTGGAATTGACGTGGTTTAAGAAATGTTTGTGGGGATCACGTGGCTAAGTGGGTAAGACGCTAGCTCGCTAGCCTGGAGGTCGGGTGTTCGATCCCTGCATTGGCCGAGAAAGTTCATCCAGATTTTCCGGCGTGGTTCTCCCTTGTCAGTGATGCAGGACGGAGGGGCTGACAAGGAAAGCTGTCTAGTCGTTCGGATGGGACAAAAAACCGAGGTCCCGTAAACAAATGGGCGTGCACGTAAAAGATCCCTTGGCAGTTGGAATTCGATATAAGAGTAGGCCGTAGTGCCGCTGTCCGGGCAAAATTTCCCTCATAGCACACTGTATGGCGTATGCCCGTCTTCATTAGCCCAGGTTAGGAGCAGAACAGTAGGACGTTAAACCCCATTTCATTTCATTTCATTTCAGAAATGTTTGTTTGATAAATTTCATATAGATGTCTAAATAAAGACGGAATTCAACATTCAGAATAGGCCTATATTAATCACCTTAGAATTGATGTTGGCGTTTAAATGTTTATCTTAGTGTAGGTTGATTCAGAATATTTTCTATATTTTTAAAGCGATATATTTTACCCTTTTTAATGCGGCATCCTGGTCCGTTGTGCCTTCCAACCAGTCCGTCTTCTCAACTTAAGTGATTATTTAAAGGAGCTAAATATTGGCACCTAGAAATGGACACAAATGGGTAGCAACTACCATGCATCTTTATCATTGAGTCAACTGGCGGGGTTTCGATTCTCCCGTTGTACGTGACAAGGAGTATAGGGTCGCCTGTCCAACCTCGTGGGTTTTCTCCGGGTCCCCCGGTTTCCTCCCACTGCTAAAGACCCCTACGCGAATTATTGAAAAAAATTGAACCATGTTGTGTAAGTCCCGAAATGACTAATTTATTCTAATTGGCTGGTTGTTAAACCCCATTTCATTTCATTGACCGATTTTAAACATCCCTATTACCCTAATACCTCTTTCTACCCCGTAAGAAATGGCTGCAAATATCAAGTTATTAGAAAATGTTCGTTTTTTATTGACTGATATTTAACAAAAACAGTATCCAGATATTGCGCGATCTTACCTCTTTTTAACCATATAAATAACCAATATGGCAGTTAATATGAAGTTTTTTTTTAGAAGAGTCGACGAGTTAATAATTAATATTACTTGAAACGAGTAGAAGAAGCCGTACTTCTAATGTTGAAGAGTTGTATTTTATTAGTGAAGTAACATATTGACTTTATTTTAGATATTGATAAATCCGGTTAATCCCCGCCTTAATACAGATATTTTTCTACGTCTTCATAAATATCCTGGATTTCTTTTTACTGTATCATGATAAATCGACTTATTCACATCCACATTCAGAGATAGAAATGGATTTTAAGCTCCACTCAACACAAACTAAATCATTTCGGGACCAACGTACGATACAATTTCATTTCAATAATTTGTTAGGCTTGCGCGTAGGGAGTGCACGGGAGGAAACTGGGAGCCCATAGATAATCCATGATGTAATGCCCTGGGCCCACGTGGACCTCAAGAGAGCGAAACTTCGCGAAAATTCTCGAGGCACGCGCTAACCATTCGGTCATCCGACCCCAATCAGGATAAAGTAATCTGAGCGAAATTTTCAATATATTCATTTGTTATTATCATTTTTTGAAATATTTTAGCAAGGACAAACTCTTTATCTACACATCTTTAAGGACGAGCTAGGATTAATAAATTCATTCAGCACCAATTCCGATATCAATAAACAGGAAGATATATCTATACATTTAGACATTTAAATTTGTCATAAAAAACCCCTCTAGTCTATAGTGATACATATATAGCCATGGTAACATGCATGTGATAGTCAGAAAGAGGATGTCAAAAGCGATTACGGAATTACTCCTCAGCAAACTGAAAGCTTGCTACTCCTATTATACCGGAAATCGGATGGACGTAATCGATTATAGTGGCGTCAGTAAGGTTTAACATCTTCAAAATCAAATATATTTGGTTCGGTTGAAGAGAAGTATAGAGGATTTTATTTTCATTTTATATGCCACAGTCCAAATGTTGTAGCAGGATAATGTTGTAGCAGGATTAAAGATACATGTGGTGATATCACCCCATGTCTTTCCAAACGGATAAGAAATGAAATGGGGTTTAAAGTCCTACTGTTCTGCCCCGACTGGCCAAACGAAGACGGACATACGCCATTCGGTGTGCTATGAGGGAAATTTGCCCGGACAGCGGCGCTACGTACTTCTCTTATACCGAATTCCAACTGTCAAGGGATCTTTAACGTGCACGCCGATGTGTACACGGGATCTTCCGAACGACTATACGTTTTACCTTGCCAAGCCCTGGGTCCTGCATCACTGACAAGGAGGAACCCCGAGGGAAAAATCCCGATGAATTTTCTCAGCCAATGCAGTGATCGAACTCGGGACCTCCAGGTTAGCGAGCCAAAGTCGTACCCACCGACCCACCGTGGCTCCCCAAAACGGATAAGGTTGCACAACAAAACAATATTTGAATTTAAAGACGTAGGTGTTATATGCCCCCGTCAGAACGGAGTGTCGTCCTTACTGTGCTGCTGCGACCGTACAGCGACCAGAAAATGCACAAGGTCGCCGGAAAACGTGAACACAACGCGAGAAAATGTCCCGAAAAATAACAAACTTGAAAAAAAAATCACTTTGTCACAGCTTCCTAGGCCAGATCGCAGAACCTTGGCGTTTGCTTTGAACATGGGCGCTATTCTTTGCCTGGCCCTTCAATCTGCAATACGGACAGATTCACAACCAGGGGTTATTCCTTGATAGGCACAAGACGGCCCAACTGAAACAGGGAAACCACGCCATAAAATCCGAACTTTCTCGGTAAACACCGGGATCGAACTCGCTAACTAGGTGTTGTTAGCGAGCCAGCGCCTTAAAGGGTCAATAACACTCTTGCTGGCTTGACAGCTCCAGAAAATAAAAAAATAGCCTTATTCTAAGTACTAGATGTGTTAGTGTCCTACCTGTTGTGTAAATTATCCATTAAATCCTATTTTACTTGTCCAGAGGGTTTAAAAATATTTTAAAATCAATGTCACATTTGAAAAGCTTTACGTCAGGCTTTTCAAATCATTTAGTTGAATTTTTCCAATCTTTTAAATTAGGTGTGTTAAGATGAAATTTGTATCATCAATTAATTGGAATATTGTAAAATAGTACAATTTGTTGACCATAATAAAGATTGGGACATATTATTCAGTTACAACAAGAGTGGTATTGAGCCTTTAATGACTGAGCCACAATTTGAAACTCAAATAATTAATAGACTAAAAGTACAAACTTTCTGGCATCAGGAGGATATTTTAGAGTATGTGTCTGGTGTTTTTAATGTTTTAAGTAAGACATTAATACCTGGCAGAATATGATTCTCATTATTTAACTATGTTTGTTTATTTACAGGGTAGATTCAGGCCAGATTAGAAGAAAAAATGAAAACAGAATGTGTTAAATACCTCGAAAGATTGAATGTTCCAAAATATGAAACAACATCTATCTTATGACTGAACAGTATTATCTAAAATAACATTTGAATAAATTTTAAACATTTTGCGTCATTCCACAATTTCTATCAGTAGCTTAAGGGCGGGTCATGGGTATACTTTGATTAATTAAACTGGTTTATTCTCGGCAAACGTTTCTCCGATTCTTGTGCAATACTAACCCCAAATTTAAACACAGTATAAATGTCCGAATAACTATGCCTATGAAGTTACAGGGGTATCACGAATCAGCCAATTAAAGACAATAATTTCTCATATAAGTTACGTAAGCCTCTTCAAACAAATCTGGTGATTGTTTTCAATACAGCTTAATATTTTAATTTGCAATATTTAGCCAAGGTAAATTGACTATAACGTGACATTTGGCTTTTGGTTTATATAGTTAAACATACTTTTATTTGCGTTACGGCGCCCTGTGAAATCCATGATGGGACAACCCCTTTAAAGTAGATATTGTTAATCTAAAACAGCGTTGGGTATAAAATGAAACGAAGCGGACGATGTGTTTGGGGAAAAAAATCATTGATTGTACATTCCAGTTATTTCTATCGACTTGTAATCGAAAATAATTCCATCCGTGAAAACATTTGCACGAGGTTGAATGTGTGATTTATTTTATTCCAAACGTCTCGTTCGAGGGTAACGAAGTGCATAATGACACAAGCAAGATGGTGGTAAATTGTCATTTTAAATCACCTTAGTAACAGGCTGGATGATAAATGATGGAATTTGAAGAACACGCACCTATTGTTTATGAGGTTGATAATGCAATTATATGTTATTCAACACGGGTGGAGAATAAAATTAAAATCTAGTTACATTAAGAATTTAGTTTTGGGTCGTTTACATTTCTATTAGGTTTTTTTCTGCTTGTAAATAATAGAAAAGTGAAGTCGTATTAAATATCGTCAATGGAGTAGTAATGAATCGTACATGTAAATTGGATTTACTTGTCAGAACACCATAGACAACAAGATTTGGTCATAAACATGGATGAAGAAATTCTAGGAAGGATTTGCAAAAACACAAAAAACTCTACATATTCTGACAATCGCTCATTGGATTAAAGTTTTACATTAGCGGATAAGTGTGGTGACTTACGTGTCGTTTTACAGCCAATAATACAACACATATCTATAACACATTCTCTGCATCATATACAATCCAGTGACAGCGTGCTGCTTTTTTGATATATGATTATTATGAAAGATGGTATGATCTGGAAAGCAGGTGAAAATTATTGACAGGCGTAATTGTATTTAAAATGTAGCCTACAATTTAACAGGTTAATTGTTTTACAGTACACTTTAGGTTCGGATATTTACCTTCCTCGGTGATGAGTTTCAACAATCTCTGTTTAATAAGCACAAATTAATTAAGCGAAAGAAAATGATGGATTGGAAAGCTTACAAACACGATGGATACGAGTTTTGCCGTGTTAATTACTATGCTACAACATTGGATTTAAACCAAACTAACGTATAGGTATATGACGTCATATCAATCACCTTTGATGGATTACCAGACATCTGTGAAAATGCCTGCTGTGTTTTGAGGGAGTCTGCCAATGTTGCAAACTTTTTATAACACAAGTTTTTTTTTATCTGGATTAGCGCTTCAACATGTTTTGTTTGTTTTTTAATACAACAAAAACAATTTAACGTGCACAAATGTTATCCTGGTGTATTCGTCTGGACAATTGTGTGTGGCACCTGAGCAACATTTAGGCCTACAGTGATTTGAAAACATAAAATGGCGGAAAATGTGTCGAGTTCTGTGTTTGGTATAGGGGTGAACACTTCTAATCAAACCATTGGACTAGAGGAAGAACTGGGATCGAAAGCAGCTGTGCCTATAACCTTTGTGTACATTCTGATTTTTATAACTGGTGTGTTCGGCAATATATGCACGTGCATTATCATCATTAAAAATCGTTACATGCACACACCAACTAATTATTACCTGTTTAACCTGGCCGTGTCCGATTTAATGATGTTGGTGCTGGGTTTACCGTATGAGATTTATACGTTGTGGTCGTCATATCCTTTTCTACTGGGTGAAACTATTTGCCGGCTCAGACTCCTGGCCGCTGAGGCCTCAACGTATACCTCCATTTTGACCATCACCGCCTTTACGGTGGAACGTTATAACGCCATTTGTTATCCAATGAGGGCCAATAACTCTAATTTATCACGTGTTGTCAAGGTGATAATAAGTATCTGGTCCTTGTCTGTCTTGTGTTCAATACCCGTAGCACTACAATTTGGAATAATCTACGACACATTCGATGGAAACGTTCCAATATCAGAATCTGCACAGTGCAATACAATAAATGAATCGGAGGCTAAAATTGTGTTTCAAGTGTCGACATTTTTATTTTTTATTTTTCCTATGACAGTGATTGGAATTTTATATTTTATGATTGCCCTAGCAATTAGGCGATCGGTTCTCATTAGAAGTGGTTCTGATTCGTCCAATGACAGTCAAACAACGTCAGCCAGTGTTTTAAACCCTGACACGAGGGGCCAGCAACAGTCACTGATCAGGCAATCTGTCCTTAAAATGCTCGGTAAGTATTCAGCGTGAGACAGAAATAACTGACTGGCGGCTAAATCTATTTATTAAGGCCAGCTCAATTTTTGTCAAGGTCGCTACGATGTAAACAGGGTTAGGGCACGACGTGATTGTTGGTGAGAATGCAGGTTAGGTTTAGGGTAAGCATCAGGGCTAGGTCCAGGGTGGGTTAGGGTTGGGATTAGCGCTAGCCCTGTTTACATTTCGTGACCTTTGACCATACTTAATGTTAGCCTTATCAAATAGATCTAACCCATACTGACATAATATAGAGAGAGAGTGGGAGTGAGAGTGTGGGTGCGTACGTAACTAACGTACGAAAATTAAATGGTAGCTGGCTTTTTTTTCGCACGTATACAGTGAATGGCCAATTTCGCTGAGTAATCCCAGCCAGAATTTGGCTATTTTTTTAAAATTGCGTTAGAGTTTTAAATTTTTGTTTAGAACTGAAATAAATTAACTTTTAGTCAATCCCCACGCTAATAACATTAACAGAATTGATTGTGTATATCTGAAATAGACACGACCGAAGCACAAAATAGTGCCAATATGCCGACGTCAAATCTAGAGTTGTAGATGGTGTTATTTTTGTGAAAAATCATTGGAAGAAGCGATAGGACGTTCTGTAATGTTGATAATGATCATAATGATGGTGTTTGTTGATATGACCTCATGACCTGTGACGTTTAGATAACGTCATATGGTTATCATGGCTATTCACTGTGTCAGAGTCACTTCTCTGCAGGTAGGGTGAGTCTGTCGTTCAGATTGAGTGTGGGTGGGGGGATGCTAACGTCCATTCGACACAAACTAGATCATTTCGGGAATAACATATGGTTCAATTTTATTTCAATGATTCGCTTGCGTTTAAGCGTCTTTAGCAGTGGGAGTAAACGGGTGGACCCGGAGAAAACCCACGAGGTTGGGCAGGCGACCCTAGGGTGAAATTGGATTAAGGCAATCATACGAGAGTAGGCAGGCGACATTGTCATATACAAGTCCGGGATCGTATATCCATCATGACTTGTATGTAAAACAAATCACGTATTAGAAACACAAACCTGTATGCACTGTAAATGGGGCTATAAAACGACAATAAACTATTACTAATGACGTACATGTTTTATAACGTGTCACTTTTTATTCGGTATTCAAGAAAAAAAAAAACCCAAAACACTCGTGTATTTTAAAAGTGACGAAATGCGAATGCTCAGAATTTTTTTTCTCACTGGCAATGAATAAATTATATTCGTTCGTTCGTTTCTAGAGTTTTACGTCCACTTCCACCTAGGGTGATATCGTAGACAAAATAAATTATATGTGACACTTTGGTAGTTGGATTTCGACAAAAAGTGGGTGGAAGCGCCGATGCCAGGGCAAACATCCACTTATAGGTCCGTCTTCGTCAGCCCAGTTGGACGTTAAACCCCATTTCCCATATTTTTCTTTTTATATTGAAACTCCAATTATTGATTTACCAACCGGCCTAGATCTCCATACCGGAATTGTCTCTTTACAACAAGTAAATTTATCTTTAGAATAGCAACAAGATCAAATACGGATACGAAATTGCTCACCCCTGGTGCTAACAGCAAAGTCGAACTTACTCTTCCAGACACCTGTTACTACTGTTTGCCGTGTATTTTGTACACGGTGAACAGTCCATTTGCTGATTACACTATTGTGCCTATATTTTGTCAAATGGTTTGGATTGTTCGTACTTGGTTTTATTTTATTGTTAGTGGGGTGAAGTAGAGGAGGGTAGGTTTGGGGTTGCCCACTCCTCCTCTGTCTCGGCCCCAAATGTTATGACGATTACAGCTATTTTTTGCTAAAACATCCGATGCCATTTGGGTTGCTGATGGCAATGCCATTATTGATTTGGAGTACATCTAATCATGTCGCTAAAAGTAACACTATAAAGGTATAGCTACTCCAAGCGAGAACGAATACAGAACAAATGAAATGGGGTTTAACGTCCTACACAAAATAATAAAAACAGAATAAAAATGAGAAGTGGTATTACGTTTCCATCGTATTCCGCTTCCACTGGTGTCTGGTTGTAGGATAGGGTAGGAATAGAGTTGAAACTCTCGTCAATACAATACATCGACCATTTTGAAACTAGCATGCGATTGTTGTTAGAAGGGAGACGTCTGTCCAGAAAGCAGCGTTTTCACCTTCTCTTCATTTACATACACGTCAGGGTGTACACCGTTGGGTCGCGGGTTTGTGTCGCATCCAATCAACTAGACACACTTTACTCGTCAGCTCGAAGACGCGGTGATCCGAACCCTAGGCATCAGTCGCGCTTGTTGAATAATAAATCAGCCAAAACTGTGTTACAATGCACGAGAAGGTATAATAATACTCTTTATAACTTAGACTGTTGATTTTAGATCTACAGTCAGAACGGCAATAGTGTGACTCCGACCTGTAGTAAGAGCTAGATCTTTTTGACAAGGCCAAATGTATAATGTCCTCAAGGTCACGAGATGTTAACAGGGCTAACACTAACACTAACCCAAGACCTTGCCCTACACCTTACACTAACCCTAACTCACAATCCTCGGTAACAATCACATGACCTAACCCCTATTACATCTTGTGACCTTGGTGAAAATATGCATTTGGCCTTTTCAAATAGATCTAACCCTGGTGTAAGATAAGATTTATTATGGAAGTATAACATTGCCAAAAATCTAAAGATAGACATTCAAAATACATTTTTCAATGTTTCAAAATACATTTTTCAATGTTTCAAAATACATTTTTCAATGTTTCAAAGTTTATTTTTCAATGTTTCAAAGTTTATTTTTCAATGTTTCAAAAAACATTTTTAAATGTTTCAAAGTATATTTTTCAATGTTTCAAAATACATTTTTCATTGTTTTAAAAATACATTTTTAATGTTTCAAAATACTAATGTCATGGTGTAAAAATCCAAAGTACACCTTTCAAAATATAAAGAAAAATTTACCTTTACATAAGGTATATTTTCTACTTAGCGAACTGCATTCTTCAGAATGTATGAATGGATTTTAGAATGACAGAGCTTAATAATTGAACTTTGTATTTCGAAAAGGGGACTTTGCATTTTTACACCTTGACATTAACATTTTGAAACCCTGAAAGAAACCTTAAAAAAATGTAGTTTGAAACGTTGTCTATCTTCAGACTTCACAAGCGACTTAAAATGTCACCTTTCTTACGGTCTATTCCATTATACATGTCTTAGGAACACGAGGGCGTATATTTTTACTTCATCCGAATTAAATGAATTTATACATTAATTAATATGACACTAGAGCTATAATATTATTATTTCTGGAAGGTTGACAGGTTTTTATTTCATGTCAGGTTTCTTATATTTTTATGAGCTTCGCACCTGGCATTATATCTAACCGGGTCTATTTTCTTTATTTATGTGTATATAGAAAATGAAATGAAATAAAATGGAGTTTAATGTCCTACTGTTCTGCTCCGACTGGGATAATGAAGACAGGCTTACGCCAGGCAGTGTGCTATGAGGGAAATTTTGGCCTGACAACGGCGCTACTGCGCCAAAGACTCTATTACGGGCACGCTAATGTGTATACGGGACCAAAGTTTTTCGTCCCATCCGAACGACTAGCAACTGTCCTTGTCAAGCCCTTCGTCCTGCAACACTGACAAGGTGAACCTACGTCGGAAATTCCCGAGGAACTTCTCGGCCAACACCGGAATCGAAACCGAGACCAAAAGGTTAGCGTGCCGTCGTCTTAGTCACATAGCCATGGCCCCCCCCCCCCACACCCCTCCAAAGTTCAGTGTTGGCATATTATGTCCTCACCCATGTCCGTCAATCATGGGTCATGAAAGGACGAACCCTAGCGATTTGCAGCGCCCTACCCCTTTTCTGAAAACCTTGACGTGCTAGTGTGAAGAATTGGGACTATAGATGGACGAAATATATTGATATTTAGCGCTCCACGACCATCCGTTCTGGAGTTACCGCTTCCCCCACCCTTCCCCCTTACGAAAAACTTGGCAAGACTACATTCCTTAACAGATAGATATTATTTTTATAAATTTCGTCTGCAGCATATGGGTCCTGAGAGGACACACAGCTTTCCGCAATCCTCCGTTCTGGAGCTATATCCCTTTGACGAAAACCCTGTTAAAGAGATAGAGGTACACTTTTCACCAATCTGATTACAATACAGATCGATATTTCGTTTCGTTTTTTTATGCTTTCGATGGCCTACACTACATGATGATCTGACAAGTTATAGCGTTAGGTCACGTCAGGGGTCAAAAGACCGACTTATGACCCTATGACGTCAGGCATTTGATTAACCAATCAGCATTGATGTTACTAGTGGATTACCCACAGTTCCGTGCAAAACACGCCTAAAGCTCGCCGTAACAGACCGTTTCATTGGCTTATCCCTGACACCATTTAGAACACGAGTTAAATAACAACTCTTCCAGATCCAAGTGTAGTAAAGACAAGTAAAACGAAATTTTGAACTATAAAAACGAAACGAAACAGTATCTGTGTTTTAATCAGATTGACTTTTCAATATATTGCCTTTTTTTTAAAACATAATATTATTTGTTTAAAATTTGGTGTAAAGCATTAGGCCTGTGAGCGGATTAATCTTATTCAAGTTGTATTCTCGTACAACCTGCTGTCAATGGCCATATTTTTTTCGGGCCAATGCTGCTGATTAGGCGTATTTCTTTTTAAGTTCTAAAAAATAAAATCTCTTTTGTTTACTCTGTTTCAGTTGCTGTTGTTGTTGCCTTTTTTGTTTGCTGGGCTCCGTTCCACGCACAAAGACTTTTGGTTGTTTATGTGGAGGATTGGACTTCAACTCTGATGCAGGTTCATGACTGCTTGTATTATATATCTGGCGTGCTGTACTATATTAGCTCGACTATTAACCCAATCTTATATAGTATCATGTCCGTCAAGTTCCGCCAGGCCTTCCGCTCTACCATCCTCTTTCCATGTTGTCAAACTAATCGGAGAAAATCGCGGAATTCGTATACGTATAAATTCTCCCATCAGAAGAACTCCGGTGACACTAACTGTACCCCTGTAGAGAGTAGTCCTCCTGCTAGATGTTGTGTTCCAGTACCACCTCGATCCCCACAACGCTGTGATGATTGTCCCATGGAAAGGATTTCATGGAAAGGAAACGAATGACAGCGTTAATCGATCGATAAACTTGTTCATCAACTTGGGTTGATAGTGGCTGATCATGGCCTTAATCCGGTGTTACAAAAAGGGATACCCATGGAGTGGTTTGCCTTTTCCATGAAAAAGAACCAAATCAGTATAATTACCCGGTGTTCTTAATTTCCATTCCAATAATAGTGCTGTGTCTTCTGGGTTTTACTACCAAGAGCATTACTCTAGTAAAAAAACAACGTTGGTTTGAAAATCGTAATGTGTTATTAGGAAGAAGCCAGTGATGTCCTTATGGGCTGTTAGCCAGTGTTCGTTGATGCGCACGACTTTGGTAAAAATAACGAGTAAATACAAAGATCAAAATAATATCACAGAGAATGTTACAAACAGTTACTGCTGAATGATATAACACCGGGAACAATTTTATGAATACACAATTACTAAGCGAAGTTTCGAAGAGGATATACTGAGTTTAATACTAAGCGACGTTTCGACGAGGATACTCTTGTCTTGATATCAAGTTAAAGTCAGACGTTTTTCAATTCCGTTTCCGCTTGCTTTAGTTTCCGTGTATTTTATTTCACCACCTCAACTTGACCTAACAGCTGACAGGTTTATCACTGTGCTCTTGCTTGTGTAACTTTTCTAGTCATAGCCCCGTTCACTATTTATAAACTCATTAAAGTTTCGGGCATAACGCAACCGAAACCAGCCTTCTGAACCACAGTTGTTCTGAATATGTGTTAGATTTTATAAGTGTAGCAAATGAGAACCATAAAAATGAAAGATGAAGATATACTTTTTGTTTGATAGGTGGTGCTTCTAACAACTGCTGCGCCTGTCCAACCTCGTGGGTTTTCTCCGGGTCCTCCGGTTTCCTCCCACTGCTAAAGACCCCTATGCGCAAGCGAATTATTGAAATAAAATTAAACCATATGTTAATCCCGAAATGACCTAGTTGTGTCGAGTGGACGTTAAACCCCATTTCTCTCTCTCTCTCTAACAACTGCAATGGATATATTGTATAAGTGTTCTAAAAAAAGAAATGAATAAATTAAAAACTCCAGTCATATTACTTTTTGACAAAACATTCGTTAAACTTAATCTTGCCATGTTGATAAATGATTAAATAATAATTTATAGAACATTTGAAGCAAGAAAATTGAATTGCAATAAGCAGATTTAGCTCTTACATAAGGCATCTTTAATTATAGAAATAAATCAACTGTAAATATTCCCAGGTAGATTAACTCTAGATAAACTGATGAAGGTAAATATCGCCTCGTATTTCACCGGACTGATATAATTGAAGGCTAAATCTATTTATTAAGGCCGGCTCAATTTTTGTCAAGGTCGTTGAGATGTAAATAAGGTTAGGGCACGTGATTGTTGGCGAGGTTGTAGGTAAGGTTTAGGGTAAGCATTGGGGCTAGGTTCAGGGTTAGGTTTACGGTTGGGATTAGCGCTAGCCCTGTTTACATCTCGTGACCTATGTCGAAAAATTGAGCTGGCCCAATCATTTAGCACTAACCTTAATTGACACTGCCGAGGTTTGCCGAGTGCTTAATTGAATTACTTTGTTTAATGACTAAACATGCGGTGTTATTACTTTAATAAAACATAGTTATGCGTATTCTTGTTATGCAAACTACAATAATTATGATTAAGTTACATCTAAAAACCCACATCTTTGGCATACGATCTGCACGGGTCTTAATCAAGATATTCCTGGAATTTACCTGTTTTTGGTTGATAATTTTACTTTAGATTGTTTTAAGCGTCAACTCTCTACTGATTAGGGTTAGATCTATTTCATAAGGCCAACTTTAAGTTTGGTCAAAGGTCACGGGATATAATCCCAACCCTAACCCTGGACCTAGCCCTAACGTTTACCCTAACCCTAACCTACAGTCTCGTCAACAATCACGTGCCTTAACCTTATTTACATCTCATCGACCTTGACGAAATCTTGAGTTGGCCTTAATAAATAGATCTGATCTAGTCTACTGCTCTGTTTGCATTCTCCACACAAGTCTGCTATCCAGGACTGCAAGGGAAGACAACTCTGTTTGGGAGATTGCTCTGTTCTCTTGAATCGTATCACACATAACAAGAGCTACTTTATTTTAGCCAATGAGGTTGTTAGCCAGAGTTACAGAATCATGCCAATTTCAAATCGTCGCCATTACACTCTGTATGTGAACATCCTCGTTCAAAGTTTTACCTTTACAACACGTGTATTTAAAGGCCAGTACCACCGTCCAACGATTTGAAGCTCCCGGGAGCAGTGGCGGATTAAGCTCCACCAAGGCCTGAGGCGGCAGTTGCTGGAGGGCCTATTTAGTTTTTAAAGTTAGAGCCAAGGTAGTTGCTAACATTAAAAACGGGATTCGTTACTGAGGTTATAATATTATTAAAATATTAGTTATAACTATTGAAATTTGCCGTACAAAATGATTTGACAGCAGAAACGTCACCGGAAACCAACTGTACATACACCTATTTTCAAGGATAATATTTCCTCATGATGGGGTGTTTACATCGAAACTAGCGCAAGATCTTTTGCTAGATATTTTTTTCTATTAGCCCTTTATTTAGACGAAGTTAATAAAGAAAACAATATGACATATGAAACGAAGAGGCATACCGTATCTGGGGCGTTTTTTTCTAATTTGCAGAAAATAACTAAACTGTTACAACGCAACTTTCCGTGTCTTATTAAAGGCAAATATCTTTATGACATCATCGATGTTTAATTGCTGGAGAATATCATTTTCTATGCACATGATGGACAAATAATTAAGTCTGTACTGTGTCATTGTCGAGCGCATATGGTTTTTGACACGCTTTAGTACCGCGAATGATCGCTCTCCAGTACAATTGGATACCATTAGACACAAATACATCCGCAATATCAACTCCACATCCGGAAACATACCCTTTAAACCGGGGCCTGTGTTTGAGTCGTAAAACATCTCCATCATTTTTGATGGTTTCCATTTAGCAATTGATTCGTGGGATGTTGGTCTGAATGGCGCCCCCCTCGGTTTCTTTGTACAGTTCACAGAATTGGACTTATTGGTCACTTGATGTATCACTCAATTCTGGGTACGTTCGAACAAGGTTTTGTCCAAAGTCACGAACTTCGTCTGCAGTGAGTTCGGATAACCGTGACAGAAATCCGAATTTTCCAGTCAAATCACTGTAGGCTGTCTGTCGTTTGTCGAGTGCGGATTCTAGTTGATCAAGTATAACAAAATACTAAGCCAAAGTCGTTTGATATTGGTAATGTAACTTTATATGCCCATAAATGACGTCACGGGGATACAATATATTAATCAAGACATAACCGAAAACTTACAAGAATTTAACGTACATTGTAGGCCTACGTTTAAAAAATATGATCAGATCTCCAAACAATAGGGCCTATTTAAAATGGCGTGGGTCTAATTAATTTCGGGTCAGGGCCTATGTTGATTCCCGTTGGGCCTAAACCTCACCCCCTAACATTCATTGTCTATGCGTTTTTAATCGTATCAGACAAGTCTAAAAAAATTTTTTTACAAAATCTTTGGGCCTGAGGCTGCAGCCTCATCAGCCTCACTGATAATCCGCTACTACCCGGGAGTGACTCTACATTGGACCATCCAAAAGAGTTGTTTTTTCAGTGATGTTAGGTGCGGGGGTAAAACGCTTTCCGAAATAAACGAGGTAAATGATGGATAAAGGAAGGCATTGACCTCCAACCCACCTTATATATACAGGCACGATTTTTGTTCTGTTTATATTGGAAATGCTAGCTTAGAAATGCCATAAAAATGTTCACAAGGTCTGTGACAATGTAATCTCACATAATAATTGACTAGACCGTTACTATGGCTTGAATAATTCCCATTTCAATGGCTGCTAGACAATGATCGCCAGTCCATTCTGGGGAGTTAAAAAAGAAAAATATTAGCTCAAGAATCGAAAGCTTTAAAGGGACATTATATAAGATAAAGAGCTGACTGCTCTCGCTATAATATTTCAAACATAGATAATGCAAAATGAATATATCGAAAATTTCATTCAAATTACTTTATTTTAAAAAAATGTGTGCATTGAACGTAACCACCGTACTGGCCATGCGAGTCTTAGCCTCGCTTCTCCATTTTTAAATTAAATCATTAAATGGTCGAACCGTTCTTATCTTCTTAAGATGGGGGCCATCCGATGGCATCGAGAGTTGATCAGATAACATTTAAGGCCAAAAGAAAGACCTGCAATTTAGGCAGATTTAGCTCTTACGTAATGCCTGTTTAATACTCACTGTAATTGGACTATTCAGAGAGGAATATCTCGGGCCATTGCTTCAGGAATATGGTATTACGATTACTGCTGATCTGTGTGAGTTTTAGCATGACTTGGTCATCAGCACTAGGGGCGCGTTCGGGAATTTGACTAGCGTGGGTCTGAGGTGGAGACATCGTCAACAGATATTCCGTTTAGAAATTAGAGGTCTAGCTTTCACAATATTGATGGTTTTAAACTAAATCATTAAATGGCCGAACCGTTCTAATCTACTGCAAATAGGAGCCATCAATGGCATCTAGAGTTGGTTATGGTCTTGTCATGTTAATAAATGTCTAATTATTAATTTATATAACATTTAAGGATCAGAGAAAGACTTAATCAGATTCAGCTCTTACATGTTTGAGGTAGTTGAATTATTCATGTATTTGAAAAATGAAATGTCCTGTACGGTACTAGTTTTAGCCAATCTGTTTCACAGCATACTCCTCCCAGTGTTTCATTTGATTAGAGCTAATCCCACTTAACACTGCTTTAAAGGAAGCAAATTTCTGTTCTAAACTGATCAATAGTCCGATTAACAACCAATAGATAACAGAGCTCTAAATTGGACCTAATATGTTTACATAACGTTACGTCATGACTCACGATTGTATTATGCCCAATTAACCAGTACATAGCAGAATATTGCAGAAAAACTAATTGCGTGACAAATGAGGCTATCAACACGATACAGTGTAAACAATACTGTTTTAGGGAAGACCCCCAGATTAAACGAAGGGCTGTCATGTTGCTGTACTTGGGATAGATTTGATTGAACACCCCCTCAACAGCTCAAGTATCAGAAGCCAATCCAGCAATGGCCAGAGAGGGATATCTCGGGCCATTGCTTCAGGAATATTGTTTCACAGAGGTACGATTACTGCTGATTAGTGTGAGTTTTCGCATGACTTGGTCATCAGCACTAGGGGCGTGTTCGGGAATTTGACCAGCGGGGGTCCGAGGTGGAGACGTCAAGTTTGGCATGGGCTCTGGGGGATTACACTAGAATTTTATAACATCAGAAGCTCTAAGACAATATTTCTGCTCATTTGGGTATATACGTGTATAGGATTCGAGAGGAATGGGGCCAAAACCGCGAAATGCTTTACAAGCTTGTTTGTTCGAGGAGAACAAAAATATGCCCTGGACCCGTTCCTATCACTCCTCTCGCCCTTGCACAAAAATTGGACAAATTTGGTGTGTGCAATATTCAAATGAGAAATGTCTTATAAGCAAAAAGCATAAATTACTATAATAGGTTGATGGGTGTCGTGTTTCCTGGGAAACAAAACCAGGGCGAAAGGAAGAACGAGTTGGGCCCATTTCAATATTCCTCCTCTTAACTTCGTTCGGATCGGGTTAATAAAAATATGCTGAACATATATATATATATTACAATTTATATTTTATTTCTAAATATTATAATATATATATCTATCAATATCACAGATTCAGCATAATATATAAATAGTCGACTTTACAATCATAATCTGTATAATATATAGCAGAAATCACAGGCTCTCATAACATCTGACCAAATGGTGTCCATATTTTAGACAAAGATCTTTTTGTTTAATAAACTGATAACAAACTGCTTTTCCTAGATGTACAACGACTAAGAGGGTTGAAAAAAAGGACTTTGTACTATTATACATGTAAGTGAAGAATCACGGTATGGGAACTGATATCTTGCAAATCCCATAGCAAATCCTTAACATAATGCTACTTTTGGAATTGGGAGCCATGGTGGCTATGTGAGTAGGACGCTGGCTCGCTATCCTGGAGGCTGCGGGTTCGATCCCGGTGTTGGCCGGGAAAGTTCATCGGGATTTTTCGTCGTGGTTTCCCCTTGTCTGTGGGGCAGGGCAGGGGACTTGACAAGGACAGCTGTCTAGTCCTTCGGCTGGGACGAGAAACCGAGGTCCAGTCTACACATTGCCGTACACGTGAAAGGTCCCCTGGCAATTCGAATTCGATATGAGAGTAGGCCGTAGTCGGCGTAAGATAGTAAACCCCATTTCATTTCATTTTTACTTGTGGAAATAGGTTAACAATCAGGCACTGCCAGGCAGTGATATACGTATGATCGGAGGAATACGGATTGAATGACGTACATTGATATTAACAGATTGTGAACTTTTACAGATGAACCTATAGAATGACAAATAACCTGTGATGTAAAAAAATAATTAGATCTTATTTTAGCAATACATTATATTGTTTAAAGGAGACGACCCACCTATTTCTATATTCTAACAATAGACGAGTAACGATGACCCGTACTAGAAATTACTTTTAAACCTTTTTGACACCCCCGTTTAAATGTCACACTAAATTATGAACTTCCATCTATCTCATTACTGGCCGAATCAATGAATGAAATGGGGTTTAACGTCCTACTGTTCTGCTCCGAACTGGGCTAATGAAGACGGGCATTGTCACACAGTGTGTTATGAGGGAAATTTTGCCCGGAATGCAGGGATCGAACTGTCTGAATCAGAACTACCAACTGCCATTTATAAAGATTAGAAACTGATAATTTGAACACACAAAATAATCTTTAACGCTTTACTAAAAACTTTTTTTTATTTTTGGACAGTAGCGGACTGGGTGTGAAAATATTAGTTGCTAGGAGACAAAGGGAGCCCAGCCACCAATACAATTCTATCATTTAATTTTTAAAATGAATAAATTAATTTTTCAAAAAATATGCAAGTGGAAACAAAAAGATGTAATTAGAATTTTCATGCTAATAATTTATTTCTAATATTTATATATTTTTTGATAATTTATATTTCAAATATATTGTCTAATGTCTAAGGGGCCCACTTGCCATTGGGTAAGCTGACAAACTGGCAAGTCCGCCACTGAGTACGTACATATTATGACGTTACACTAACCCTCGAACAACAAAGTCACCTTTTACTATGAAACATCATATTGTAATGGTTGACTGAGGAAAAAATCGTTAACGTGTGAGAGGAAAGACGGTAGGCAATGTGGCAAGAGGTGTGTAGATCAGGGATATTTTAAGCTCTTCGTGAAAGTGTTCCGCGGCCCAGATGATGGGAACCCAGATACTAACCCATAATGAGTAACGCCTGAAGGGGCAACTTAAAATCAAACGTTGAATAGGGTTGCTTACATCATTTATCTGTCTTTTGTTAGAATATAGAAACATGGTGCACCACCTCTTATAAATGTTGACACTGCAAGCAAATGGTTCAAACAGTAATACATAAACTCCATATAAACTGGAACACGGGTCTTGGTTGGCCCCCCGATAAAATATATATAAGAAGTTGTACACGTTTATACTATTAGTGCCAGTGTCATGCTCATTCCTGGAATTGTCTTTATGGAACCATTCACAGGACAGTTAATTTAAGCTGGTTAATTTCTATGTTACCGTCACTGCTAAACAAATGCCCATAATCTTTGGTAATAAATAATTCGAACATGAGGTAAACACAATGTCAAAAAAACTAATAAATATTTGGTTACTATTTGCACACTTTTTATGTGATAGTCACTTGTACTGTAGCTGACTGCTGCAGATGGGTATAAATTCTACATAACCGTTTTGTTTGGGTATTGACATGCCTTTCTCTAAATCTGATGTTCATATGACTGCCAGAGAATATCTCACGAAAGGTTAACTTAATATTATTTGCAGGATAACTTAATATTATTGGCCTTAGCATACAAAAAGTGTAGTAATAACGGTCTGGTGGGTTCTAATGACTACAACCCCCATCATTCAATCTGTATTTATCCATTAATATAGTGATGCCAATGATGCAAGTTGGGGTATGACTGCCAATGATGCAAGTTGGGGTGTGACTGCCAATAATGCAAGTTGGGGTGTGGCTGTCAATGATGTAAGTTGGGGTGTAGCTGCTAATGATGCAAGTTGCTAATGATGCAAGATGGGATGTAACTGCCAGTGATGCAAGTTGGGGTATGACTGCCAATGATACAAGTTGGGATGTGACTGACAATTATTACGTTTATACCACAATGCAAGATAAATAAATCCTTGTTACACAGATGCATATATCCATCTTAATTATTCCAACTGAACAATATTCCTTAAAGTTTTCAGTTTGGAATTTTTAAGTAAATTTTCATTCTTTTGGCCAATTTATTTCTCATCAACAGCCGTGAACTATCTGATCTACAGCAAGACATCGCCTACATCCTGATCTTCACATGTCATAGACTTTGAGGTATCTGAAAAACAAATTATTCAAATCCATCGATCTACCAGTAAATGTTTTGTGAAACAGATGAAAGACAAAAACATGAATATACAGTAATTGATATTTTTTCTAGAATTCTAATAGGTTGCCTGATTAATTTCTTCTAATAAAAAAAAATCTCATAAAATGAATCTTAAAAAAATATTTTGTAATGTTGTTATAATATGCCTTTCTTCTAGACATCTGAATGGTTGCAGCAGGAATTATAAGAATTTTATTCGACAGGTTGACATAAAAATGAGTTTCAAAAACGACCGAGTTGTCATTTGAACGGGAACTTTTAAACTCATCACATTCCCAGCCTATTATCCCTGGTAAAACATCTGATAACTAATCATGCTATTATATTCATTTTTGATCTAGAAAGGTAATTACTTTATTAACATATGACAGCACCAGAACATGTGCACAAAGCTCCGTTTAAGGAAAATAGATGGCTGGGAGAAGTAAAGTGTGCACAGTAAAGAACAAAAATTAATACTTGAAAGGAAAAACTCTCTTTATAAAATAATGTGCTAATAAATATTATGTGGGGTGCAATAATAAAAGGGTTTACCAATTTAGGTTGTGAAAAATGGGTTATTAAATATTTAAATATTATTTTTAATTTCACTAGTGATAAACACAAATAAACTGAAAACATCCTTACAAATATTGAAATCTATTTTCTACTCAATTAAACTCTCGTAGATAACAAGAAAATAACTTGGCTACAGTACAAAGTCATTCAAGCGCAAGCAATATTAGAAAATAAGTTTTCATTTGTATTTGTATTCCTTTCAAAATATAAGCATAAATTTTAAATGAATAAATTTTGATGTCACAATGAAGCTAAAGACTATTAATTATCAGTAAGGAAACAAAGGTTGCCAGGCAATGAAACATACATCCACTAGCAGCTTAATTCTTTAAGCAGTTAATAAAGGATGTCTCTAATTCAATAAAGATTTAATTAATGACACATTGAATTTAAATATGATAGTATACTTTGATCAACAATTAATTATTTAGGGGCAATGATTCTGAAAGTACTTTTAATTAAAGTCGATTAGGATCACTCAAAAATATGATGAAAATTGGCCATGAACTTAACTCTGTAAAGTGAATACATGAAATGGTTTATGGAATACTGGATGGACGGGGTGACAACAATATGCAACAACAACAATATGTTGTCATAAAAAAATGTGGCTAGGGATCTAGTTAAGATAAATAAATAAAAAATACTCATCAGATTTGATTAATAAATTTTGACTGTAACATTTGTAGTGTTATTTTTTTTTTAAAATAAGACCTTAGAAAAAAAAAAATTTCTGAATTTGCCAGGCTATTATCTAAAAAGAATCGTTTTACCTTTAATCTACAAAAATACCAATAAGTACGTTTTGGGATACTAGATGTCTCAAATTATTTATCTATACTAAAGTGTGAAAAATTTCTTTAGGAATGTTACCTTTCCAAATAAATGAAATTTGCTATAGGGTGTTTTAGAAAGATGTATACCCTGCATTGTGCTCTGCATAACACAGCTCAACAGAAAAATAGGATGATAAACCCTCTTTCATTCATTTACACTAAAATTGGCACTATATTTGATCTGAGTTTATCATATACTATGTATGAGATTATCATAATAGTATTTAGTTTTGTTCTTCTATATACTAGCATCTAACTATAATTACAGGATATATAAAAAGCTATTTACAAAAAAATCAATTTAACTTAATGATAAATATGCAATTCTAATCTATAAATTTAAAATGAAATAAATGAGTTTAAAAATGAACAAAACGTGTATAAATAAATTCCTGTGTGATTAGCAAAATAGAATAAATAGTAAATTTTTTATTTTGTTAAATTGATTTTTCAATTCTATTAAGTAGGTGAATACCATGCGGGATTAAGTACGCATGCATTTCTTTTAACTAATTTATTAACATAAGTGTTAATTAAACAAAATTAAAAGATTGGACTGTCCTCTCACCAATAGGTTTTCCTTCTATATATTAAAATTTAGTCATGCTTTCACATGTTGAGCTTGCCAATTTCTGAAAATCTTAAATGAGTACAATTTCATTAGGTTTTGAAAGATAGTTGGAGCATCACATACACCAAAAGCTTAATGTATGCATTTCATTGTATTAGCAAAGCATCTTAAGAGATAATATCTAGGTGCACCAAAGCTGCAAGCGTACAATATTTCACTTCTACAAAATGTTTGCATTTACACAAAAAACTCTGGAACCTTATTACTCCCACATAAAAATGATAATTATGCAGTGTAGCTATTTATAGTTCAATGTATGTAGTCATTGATGTGCTGTGCATATTTATATGTTGCATAAAGAAATGATCGAAGGTGGATGGGAATTCCCCTTTCAACAAAATAGAATCTTAATTCTGACTACTAGCAGCATCAATATATAGTCAATGGTTCAGATGCTGAAATTTCTATGGTTTTGCCTAGCTGTAAATACCAAACATTGTTTTTAGAAAGTGGAATAGATAGAACTGTACTAATAGCCAGAATCTATGTGAATGCATGCCTGAATATTTGGAGGAACTTAGTGCTCTCCTGTGCCCTCAAGTCTTCCCTCCCAATCTGGCCATATACTACTGTTTATAATGTACACATTCCCCTCAAATTTTCAGATTTACATATAGTATTAAGACTCCCCATCCACACTTCCGTACATTGTATATATTCACTGTGAAGTAGGACTGTATAATGTATATATCAGTACATGCAATATATAAGGGCATATAGGTGGAGGGCTATACATGCAATATATGTTTCCAGATGCTAATATGGGCGATTTTTTTTTTTACCAAATCCTACCTAAATTTGGACCTTGACCCAATTCTAAAAGGTAGTTTACATGAGACTGATGACAACTGTTTGGAAATAAAACAGAAAATAATCTTTCACTGCATATATAGATATATATATATGTGAGAACATGTGGTCTATATTTCTTGTGGATAGGATAGTTTAATAAACAATCTACATGCAATTCAGGCAAAATGTTTAAGTTAATCAAAACCAGTTATATTCTCAAAATCATGGCAATTTGAACGAGGAAATTATCTGTTCCTAATATACATAAAGGGTTTCACTGCAGAAAGCATGCCACACGATTGATTAGATAAAATAAAAGAATGTTTACCATGATGTAACGACTATACTATATACCGGAAAACAACCGGAAAACTACTCGAAAACACTGGAGAATTACCAGAAAACACCATGTTATACTGAATACCGGAAAACACCGGAAAAACACTAAATACCGAAAAGGCTTGCTCCTCTGTGTGTGGTTTTGGACCTAGGGTTAGGATTAGGTTTTTCCGGTATTTAGTGTGTTTTCCGGTATTTAGTGTGTTTTCCGGTACATGTATTTTGTGTTTTTCCAGTGTTTTCCGGTATTCAGCATAACATGGTGTTTTGTAGTAGTTTTCCGGTGTTTTCCAGTTGTTTTTCGGTGTATTCCGGTATATAGTATAACCCTGATGTAATAGAACTATAAATCATGCTCTAGCAACTACATTAAATGCTTTCAATTGTAACAAATATCAAGTTAAAATCATTACACCATACACATGCACATGGTTAACAGAAACTAGCCAACTATTACATAGACAGGCGTTCATAATAAGAATATCACTGACTGCCTTGGGATTTGATTTTAAGGTTGGTTTAAGTTGCCAACTTTGATTATAGGCTACGAATGCTTTTCTAAAAGTATTAAAAACATTTAAAACACATCACCAAGATAACCAAATTGACGTTTGACGTTTTCATATTTCACCCAAATCAAAACAATGTCATTAGCTTTTAAGCTACACAGTCAAATTTAGAAGAAAATGATCTGATAATAAATAGAAAATAAAGCACAACAATCCAATAAACACTACAAATAAAATTTAAAAGTTAAAAGTAAAGCAACTGCCTCTTTAAATTCATAACAAAAATGATAAAAAAATGTTTGAATTCGAAGTTCACAGTCCGCATATTTTAAAAGTTGATGATGTCTGTAGCAATATGTTTTAGGTCCCCCCTCACATGTTGTTATCTCTACCCACTTAATCGCTGAATTTCTAAAAGGAATATCAGTCCAAAAGTAGTGTAATTCTCTTCAGTATTAACCAAGACATGATGAATTGGCAATCTACTGCAGACAATAAAAAAAGCCAACTTCACCTATAAATGTTGAATAAAATATATGCATGGATGGGCCTCTTTTAATTCGATTGAATCCAACCTGGGAGATTTTCTTTTTGCAAACTACCAATATTGTGATAGCTGGATCTCTAAAAGGGATATCAGTTGATAAATAGTTCAATAACGTTCAGTATCAACAAAGATACGATGAATCGAAGTACAAATTTAGCAAAAATCAGCATTGACTGCAGAAAATAAAAGCAAGTCAGGGGCACTTTTCACCCAATTCAATCCAGACCAAGAGATTGTAGTTTTGTTTTCTTTGTATGTTTAATAATCATTCTGATCAACTTTTGGCCTGGATTAAGCCGTGAAAATTTAGACATTGGCACAAAAATGCATGATCAGGTTCAAAGATCATTTGAATTTTGGACTAGTAAGTAATACCAATAATCCTATATTTATTGTAACGCAACTTTTTAAATTTAAGAAAACAGTTGCTTTAAGAGAAAATTTAGCCATGAAACCATTGAGGAAAAGAATATGGAGATATTTAATCAGAAACTGTCAACTTACTTCTGTATAAGAGTATTAATGTCTTTCTGTTCTTGGTTATCAGTAGTCTTATTGGTTTTTAAGCTACTTGTTTTCTCAGTTTCGTTTGTCACAGTGGATTTCAAGATTGGTTTCTTCAAGATTGGTTTGGGACTAACAGGAGGAGGTATTGGGGGTTTCTTTACTGCTTTCTCACCCATTGTGTCTTTTACTTCTGCTGTTTTAGCACTAGAGAACACAGAACTAGAACTTTGTGATGCTGGACGACTTGGGTTAAAAACATAAGGTCGTATAGATTTCAGAGACAATTGTCCTGGTTCATTGTAACTACGATATTTTGATATCAATGACTGCATTCTTTCATTTCCTTCACCAGAATTATCTCCCTTATCCGGTTCTGAAATAACAATGCATAAAACAGAATGAATTAGAAAGAGAGAAATTGGTTTTAACGTCTAATCGACACAAACTAGGTCATTTTGGGACTAAGATATGGTTCAATTTTATTTCAATAATGGGCTTACGCGTAGATGTTTTTAGCCGTGGGAGGAAACCGGAGGACCCGGAAAAAACCCATATGGTTGGACAGAAGACCCTACACCTCATCACGAAAAGGCTGAGAATCGAAACCACACCACTTTACTCAATGATAAACCTTATGATCCAACTCACATGCATTAACCATTCAGCCATCCAACACCCTCTTACCAACTCCATTCGGCTATACAAAACTACAATATTGCGAAGGATGAACCCCTTTAATGAATATCCATTCAAAATTTGGGCACCTTCTGAAGATTATATATCAGATTTAAACCCGAGCCAAACAGATTATCTATGATTGATATTTTTTTTTTAATTTTCTTAATCAAATGTTAAATTGTCTATTGGAGTATATTTTAGTGTTAACTCAGGCTGTGAAAAATTACATATTTTCCTAAAAATGTGATTGACAATTCTAAACTAGAGAAATGGTAATGAAGTTATAGTTGAGACTAGGCAGGTTTAACGTTCATTTCCATATCATCTTGCAGTACTTTCTGTGTGTCAACAAGGTTCTAGACAATACTTAAAGCATTTAAATCATGCCCTGAGATTACTGTCTATTATCTAAATTCAGTCCTTTTTCCTCATATTTGGAGAGTTTGTTGGCAATTTTATAATTATCTAATAACAAATGGGTGATAACAAAAATTTGTGCTTCAAAATACAATCGTGTAACTTACAGGTTCTAAAAAAATCAAAAATATATTATTATCTGTAGCAATGACCACATACAACATTAAATCTAAACAAGGTTTAAAAGATGATTTTATTTGATTCACTGATATAAAACCTTGAAAGTTTAGAAAATTCACATTAACCCTTTAAATACCATATTAACACACCCCAGAAATGTGGGTAAATTTGTCGTCTACCCGGTAATTACAGGCAACTTGAGAACCTTATTTTGGTTTTATTCAAGAGTTTCTCAACATATTTGTATAATTCCTGTATAATTGGTATTGTATGAAATGTTTTTAAACTGCATCTCAAAGGTCATTCAGTTGTTATTGCTACAGATAAAGGATCACTTTCACTAAACTTTCATTTTTCTAAGAATTTTTCTTGATATCAAATATACATCAACATGAGTCAATATTAAAATTCTAATGTTGATATAATATTTGATATAAATGCGGATTTTTTGATCATGTAATATCACTCCATAAAAAAAATCAAACTGATAAAATATTGATATAGATATCTGTGATTATCAAACATATGAAAAGATACTATCTTTAACCCTTTCAGTGCCAAATGGTAAATTTCAGAAATAGAAAAACTAATCCCGAGCTTTTGAAACCTTGTCATGCGTCCCTTCATCAATATAGCTGGAGATATTTCCAATTATTAATTGTCCCAAATTGGATGTGGCACTGAATAGGTTATTTTAACTTTCGCTTAATTTAGCATTTTAGAACTTCTATATTTCAGAAGAAATCTATTTTAAATTTTTGTAAAAAGTTTTGTGAAAGTGTTCAATTGTGACTTACTTGTACAGATAATGATGGGGTGAACATTCTGGTACTAAAACACCAATAGTGAACACCAACAGTGAATTCTAACTCTGTGAACATCAACAGTGTGAACATCAACTGTGAACACCATGCCAAATAAGGTAATATAATACTTACTGGAAAGGAAGACAGTTCCGTATAAACCAGGTGTAATTTTACCTGTTGGAGTTTCCGCGGATTTTGATCCCATCCATGGAGATGGTGCTGAACGAAGTTTGGAAAGTGTTTTCTTGGTAAAGAGCGACTCGGCTGGTCGATATTTTAATGTTGCTTCACCATCCTACAAAAAGAAAATGTTTTCTTACATGTCTTTAAGGCTTCTCATGCTTAAACTATATTTAATTCATAAAGCTACATTGAGAGAGAGAGAGAGAGAGAGAGAGAGAGAGAGATGGGGTTTAAGTCCACTCCACACAAACTAGGTCATTTTGGAACTAACACATACTTCAATTTTATTTGAATAATTTGCTTGCGTGTGGGGGTCTTTAGCAGTAGGAGGAAACCGGAGGACCCGGAGACAACCCATGAGGTTGGACAGACGACCCTACTACAACAAGGGAATCGAACCCCAAGCTACATTGAAACATCAGTAGGCACCTTGATGTTTGGTAACCCTACTCATTAGCTTGATAATGTTGAGAGAATACTCTTCGAAATGTCGTCCAAATAAATAAGCAGTTCTTTTTTATAAGTATGTGTTGTAGTTTATTGCTCTGTCCAGGTACTAAATGCCTCTCAAATATTACTTATATTTGTATTAGATCCTTAGGTCTCCAGTCTCCGTGAAAATGACAAAGGCTTAAAGTAGTTTTATGTACATACCATTCTATGTTTGAGAGTATCCTCAAGTTCATTTTTCAGTGATCCTGTATAAAATAATGTAAAAAATTACAATACCATTTCTTCTAAAGAACCTAAAGATGGCAGCCTATGTTTTGAAAGCAGTTTTCTTGAAATCAAATTAAGATGTATTACAATGTAGATTTAACTAAACAATTTTTTCAAACTTATAAAATAAGTAATATCTTTTTTACCAGACAAATTCTCAGAATCCAGAGATCTTGAAGGTGATCTGAAAAAGAACAAAACAGCATTTAATTTTGCTACATAAAAATGTCCTTATTTAAATAATAAACAGTATGGATTAATCATAAAGTGTGGAATAAAAAATGTAGGTTGTTTTTGTATTAAAAGTTGCTATTTTGATCAGATGGTTCAGGAGATCTAATCATCAATAGTACAGTTTGTCAGACATTATTGTTCAATACATCAAGGTTTATTTTCTGTGAATATGGATAACGTTGGTTTATGCTAGGTTCACGCTATCAGGTCTCATCATATATTGAGGTCACTCGTAGCCATTGTGTTGATCGTATCTAAACATATCCGAACGTATCTGTACGAACCAAACTGTGGACTCAATCGGGAAAATCCTATCGCAACGCATAAGCAAAAAGCCTTTAACTTTTACATTAGGCCGGAATCATCCATAATCATGATAATCAGTCTGAATCCTTTAATAAAAGGGAGGCTACTTTTGTATTCAAATATTTAACCTTTCAATGTTCCTTGTGTTTAGATTTCTGTTTCAATTGGCTTGTTTCGATCTTCTGTTTGTTTTGTGTTAGTCCTAAATTAAAGCCAGCTATAGTTACCTGTCATAGTTGGAGCCATTCAGAACAAGTCGAGGTATAGCACTGTGATTCTCTGTTTTATTATGGCTGACATCATTTAACCTCCTTTGTAATAATTCATTTTCTGCTTCTCTAGAGAAAATAAAAAAAAACAGAACAAAATTACAAGCCACTGTTGTCTAACTCAATTATATTGTGTATGAGTCAAATCATTTGTCCCTTATTGATAGATTGTATATCTCAATATATTTTGATGGCCCTGGAGATATGAATAATTTTTTAAATTGGTCAACAAGATCATTTTTCTGACTGTTCAATAAATCAAAGTTAACATTTTGATGAGATAGTCATAAAAATCTACATTATGATAATCAAGATAAGCCAAATGCATGATAATTTTGAGTAAAGTCATGAGAGCATTCAGTCATTTTTCCTCTCAAACAATCATAAGACATCTCTGTATGACCTTTGACAAAATAGTAGTATTTTGTTGTGATATATAGCCTGTATATATCTTCTTAACTCTTTCACCATTTGGGGATCACGGTGGCTCTGTGGATAAGACGCTGGTTCGCTAGTCTGGAGGTCGGGTGTTTGATCCCTGCATTGGTCGAGAAAGTTCATCTAGATTTTCTGGCGTGGTTCCCCCTTGTCAGTGTTGCAGGATGGAGGGTCTGACAAGCAAAGCTGTCTAGTCGTTTGGTTGGGACGTAAAACCGAGGTCCCATGTACACATTGGCATGCACGTAAAAGATCCCTTGACAGTTGGAATTCGATATAAGAGAAGGCCGTAGTGCTGCTGTCCGGGCAAAATTTCCCTCATAGCACACTGTATGGTGTATGCCTGTCTTCATTAGCCCAGTTCGGAGCAAAACAGTAGGACATTAAACCACATTTCATTTCATGTCTTTCACCACATTTCATGGTAACTTTAATTTCTCACACAGCCAGAAACATTTAATTTCGATTTATATACCATGAATTCAGATCAATACCATGCCATTCAAAGTAGTAGGATAACCAGAACATATTTTGAAAAATTTACATACTTTTGTTGATAATCCTCTTTGGTTTCATTTAATTCTTTTTCTAGGAAGACAATTGTCTGGTCTTTGCTATCAATTTCTTCCATTAAACTATGAAGTTCTTCTTTCATTTGACTCAATTCTTCTCCCGCATCCTGAAGAGATTTCTAGAGAAAAAAATAAATTAAGGAATTATTTGACTCAAGTAAAAAAAAAAGTGGAAAATCCAAGTTCTCTACAAAAACAAAATTGAAGTCGAAATTAAAGATTCTTTTTATTATGTAACTTTAAGACTGTATTTTATAGTTCCTAATAAGCACTAAATCCCTTAAATATCAGGAAACAATGAGGCAGACGTCCAAAATGGTAATGTATTAAAATTATCAATACTCCAATCTCTTAAAAATTACTGCAACTGAAAATCATGGTTAAAATCACCACTGCATGCTACCATGGTTATATTTACCACTGTGTGATATAGCATGGTCATATTTACCAATGTGTGATATAGCATGGTTAAATTTACCACTGTGTGATATAGCATGGTTATATTTACCACTGTGTGATATAGCATGGTCATATTTACCACTGTGTGATATAGCATGGTTAAATTTACCACTGTGTGATATAGCATGGTCATATTTACCACTGTGTGATATAGCATGGTCATATTTACCACTGTGTGATATAGCATGGTCATATTTACCACTGTGTGATATAGCATGGTTATATTTACCACTGTGTGATATAGCATGGTCATATTTACCACTGTGTGATATAGCATGGTCATATTTACCACTGTGTGATATAGCATGGTTATATTTACCACTGTGTGATATAGCATGGTTAAAATTACCACTGCATGCTACCATGGTTATATTTACCACTGTGTGATATAGCATGGTTAAATTTTCCACTGTATACAGTTAAAAATTACCACTGTAAACATTACCACTGTGTAATACCATTGTAAAAATTACAACTGTCTGATACCATTTTTATAATTACCAATGATATCATGTTTAGATTTACCACCGTATGATACCATTCTTAAATATACTATTGTTTTAAGATTTTAATTTACAATATATTTTAAGAGATTGTGTAAATATAATGTTCCTCTCTAGAATTATACAAATGTCTTTGAATATACTATTTCATATCTGAAAAACATTTATACTGCATACATTGCATAGATACATGTAAAATTAAACAAATTTATCAAGATGATAAAAAAAGCAACAGATTTTGTTATAGATATATACAAGTACACCTAGAATCATTAATATGTTAAAAGCCTGCATTTAGAACATTTAATAATAACAATCCGTAATCAATAAATCCAAAATAAAATTAAAATAGCCAAAATGACAAGAAGGACTGATAGAAACCTCCCAAGAAACGTTACTTGACAAACAGCCATGCAAATTATTGGCAGAATATATGTGAAACCATAGAAATATTCATTCAGAATCGGACAGATTAAAATGATAATATAGAGTAATAGAACCCTCGACCCCAATCTGATTAAAATACAGATCTATATTTCATTTCATTTTTTTATATGTTCCATGGCCTACACTACATAAAGATCTGACTGGTTGTAGTGGAAGGTCGCGTCACGGGTTGTAAAAGAGGCTATTGACCCTATGACATCAGATATTGATTAATCAATCAGAGTTGAGATTTCTAGTGGTTTATCCACAGTTCCATGCATCGTGCACCAAGAACTCACTGTAACAGACCGTTTCATTGGCTAATCCCTCACTTCAACCAGAACACAGGCTATATAACAACTCTTCCAGATCCTAATGTTGTGAAGACAAGTACAACAAAATTTTGAACTATAAAAAATGAAACGAAACAGGATCTGTGTTTTAATCAGATTGAAACCTCCGAGTAAAGTTAAATGGACAAATTGACAAAAAATTAATGAGAAGCTTGGCAGATTAAACAGCATCATGACACAGCCACATGAAAACAGTTCACAACATAGAAATAATCTTTCAGAATCCTGTATATAAAAATGATATTTCCATATTACCCCTAATCCTGAAGAATTATCAGGAAAAACTGCATCATTTAAATCCTATTTAATAAAATAATCATTTCTAATATATAATTAAGTTACATGTCGTCGATTTCAGTTCAAAAGGTTGTATCTGAAATATTTTACAAAATTGCTTCTTCAGAATCAGTTGTCCTATTTCTAAGCCTTATTTCAGTTCTTAGTTCAGTCCACGATGTTTACCCCGATACCTGTTATACAAATGGTCACACACACACTTTTTTATAGAAATATTTCAGAAAATCGTCAGAAATAAGATATTTTGACATGACGTTATTATTTGATGGCTACAGATCGAGATAAGAACAGAACCCAATTTCAAACGCATAATTCTCAATACTTAAATATATCAGATTCGTCCGTTCGCCAGAAGCGCAACAAATTTACCTTAAACCCAGATATGACCTTTTGATTCTGCAAGCGACAGTATGGATTGGCAAAAGAATCTAGGTGGCATCTTGCGTCTGCTCCCAGTCCAACCAAGTTACCTACCCTTGGAAATAGGTAGGTTATAACAATTACATTATTAAATGATCAAAACTAAACACCATACCAAATGTTTCATAACAATCTTGCAAAGAAATTTTATCGATCAATTTATATTTGTGAAAAAGATCTGGTATTTGTACCTAAATCTTGGTTCTTTGATTTTACAAATTTCAGTACGAATACAAAGGCTCACCTCTTTCAGCCTACTGATAGTTAATTCTTGTTTATGTTGATTTTCTTTGGCCTTGTTTAATTCTGACTGTAACTGCTGAATCTGTTTCTGATATTTTTCAATTTCTCTTTTAGGACTCAAACCAGATCTATGTTGAAGAAAATTGATTGAATCAGAATTATATTTTTAATCACAAGTCATATTTTACAAGCCATATTCTTTCTTTATTCTCAAATGCATTAAAAGCAAATCCAAGAATAAGCCCAGTTTGTCTCACTGTTGGGACTTAGATGGTATAGGAGATATTCTATACATGACATGTCTGTAACTTCCAGGACTGTAGTGCTTCCAGAAAGAGAGAGAGAGATGGGGTTAAATGTCCACTCGACACAAACTAGTTCCTTTCGGGACTAACATATGGTTCAATTTTATTTCAATAATTTGATTGTGCGTAGTGGTGTTTAGCAGTGGGAGGAAACTGGAGGACCCGGAGAAAACCTACGTTGGACAGACAGCCCTACTCCTTGTCACGTACAGCCGGGGAATCGAAACCACGCCAGCTGACTCAATGACTGACTTAATGATACAATGCACACGCGCTTACCATTCGGCCATCCAACCCCCCTTGCTTTCAGTAAAGTATTAGTGATAACCTTTTATTAAAGAGTCCCACAATAAATCATTTCTGGTTCCATCTTGCATCATATATATTGGAACACTATATTTTATTCCATAAATGTTGCATCAAGTTTCTCTCTTTCCCAACATTATGTATCAAGCATTTATACAGTAAAATATTTGCCAGGTATTCAATGGCATACGTGGAGTTTGTGCCATCGGGAACCGTTTTTAACTTTGTCTTGCCCTGCACTCATAACATCTTACACTGTAAGTAATTGTCTGTGATATCACTTTGGTGGAAGCGGACGTTAAATAAAGCTATTTCACACACTCTGTAAGCAGTATTTTACCGGACAAAATAAAATTGTGTTGGACCTATTGTACACTTCTTCTGTCCATCCATACTGAAAAACAAGTCTTTATGCAGTAGACCTAAATAGCTTCCTGGGTAGGATCACTTTACAAAAGCATGTATTTCAAACAAAGTAAATATAAAAATAAACTTGGTATAATCTATAAGTATCTTACTGTGATTTATTTTGTTTTATTTCTTCTGTTTCTCGTTTTAATTTATTCATCTCTTCTGTAGTTCGTTTTTTACTACCTTCTGCTAGTTTTAACTGACCACTCAACAACTGAACTTGTTTCTGAAAACCATCTCTTTCTTTCTTTATTTTCTGTATATCTTCTTTTCCTCCTGAATTACAAAAAAAGAGAAAGAATAATGGCGGCACTTGTTTATTATCTAAGTAATTTTGCTTGACGATATTAATGATCAATCTACAATCGTTAGACACAATTTAGGCTATTTCTTGTCAGAACTTCAAACATTCATATGGTTTCAATGAGTAAGCATGACTTGCATAGTTATGATCTACACATTCGTACAGGAAAATCTTTATACAATTTAAAAGACAAGGGGGGGATAATCGGCTGAATGTTCTGTATAATTCTTGAGAAGTCCAAGATCATTTTTATGAAACACAATCATTGGTTTTCCTCTCCTACATTTATGGAAATAACGCCGTGAATACCACAAAAATAAAAAGACATTGGCATAAATGATTTTATATAAGAGTCAAAAATTGTTGTTTTTATGTGACTTTTGAAATAACACTATAAGTAACAAAAAGTATAAAAGACAAATTTTCCTACCATTTTGACTATTTTTAGCTTGGTTTAATTCTCTGTGTAATCTTTGATTATCTTCTTCTAATTTATTAAAGTCTTGTAGAAGCTGATCAAACTCATCTTGTAAACTACAATGTTGTCGTCTGGTTCTGAAAAATTAAATAAATAAGTGTACAAGTCCATTTGCATGGCTCAATTTTGCTTATTCGTCATTTTGACTTCTTCATATGTTTACAATTGGTTATGATAGAACTTTATGATGGACTTTTTATAAAATTAATTTATGCTCACCACATAATTTGTCAATTTTTTTACCACTGTATGACTTTTTTTTACAGTTCTAGGAACAGCACTGGGAGGACTGATGTAGACAGTGCCAGAAAAGGAAGGGAAATCTTTATTAATGGTCAGAACCAGATTTGATGATCAGAGGACTGTGCTTTATTATATGGACAGTAAGAGGAATACCAATCAGAGGACAGATGGTTTATTACATGGACAATGCCAGAAACAGATGGTTTATTACATGGACAGTGCCAGGAACAGATGGTTTATTACATGGACAGTACCAGGTATAACAATGGGAGGACAGATGTTTTTTTTTACATGGACACAGGACAGTGCCAGGAATAGCACACGAAGGACAGATCCTTCATACTTTTAGCTGATTTTAAACAAGTTGTATTTTCATGCTCTAAAATATTACAAATAAATCAATGTACCTTTCTAGTTCATCCTTCATAGCTGGTTCACCATATCCATCTTCAATAACTTGTTTTAATCTGTTATTTTCCTAATAAAAGTAAAATATGAGTTAAACAACAGTTAATAATGCACAAATGATAAAATATCTGTCATTATAATTAACAATCTGAAGATCTTAGCTGGTTTAAAAAACATAATTTTCGATTTTTTTGAGATTTGACTATGTTGTGCCGTGAGAGGTATCCATTTGAGTCCATTAACCACCAAGATATAGATGTTTTCAGTTTCATTCATTCCTAAATATTACAGGTTCACTGGATGCTCTAGCAGTGCTTGGATTTAAGATAATGGAGTGAATCTAGTGTTTTTTTTAATCTGATATGTGACCCATTACATTGAAATGGGTAGTGAGTCACATATGCCTTTATTGTGCTAGCACTCATAATAAAAATGTAAAGATAACTGTTAGTGAAATTGTTAGTATTAAATTTTGGTTGCTACGGAAATTTTATCTTTCAATAACTCATTTTCCACTTTGATTTTCTAAAGGTCTCTTGAAATTCTCTCTCCAATTAACCTGAACGTATTTGGCAATATCTCTCCAACTGACCTGGATGTATTTGGCGATATCTCGGCTATTGAACATGATATGGAGTCGGGAATGGTACCCAAAATGAAGCTTGGGCCCCAAGGAATGTTATTATGTGCATTTCTCAATATGCCCAAATTGTTACTTACTACCCATTTCGATGTGATGGGTCACTATTATAAAATCTGATTTTGTTATGATCATATATTATGAGTTTTATCTGTGGCTAATAAAAAGTAATACACCCTTGATGCCTTATAATTATTACCTTATTAACAGCATCTAGTTTTTTATTTAGGGTAGAATTTGTCTCTGATAATTTACCATTAGCTGATGTCAATAATTCTACTTTATCTTCTAATAAATCATAACCTGGTTGTTTATAGATTAATTCACTATTAACCTACAAAAACAATCATTAGAAATCTGAATTCAAATATCGATTTTTCCTTTTAGATTATTTCTTAAATCATTGATTTCCACCCCTCGCATCATCTTCAACTATCTGTTTCAATTGATGGACCTTAATGTGCTTTTCGGTTAATGATCTATTCTCAAATGATGGCCCAGATTTTGCTTTAAGGTTAATGATCTATTTCAAATGATGACCCTGATTGTGCCTTTCAGTTAATGATCTATTTCAAATGATTGCCCTGATTGCAGATTTCAGTTAATGATCTATTTCCAATGATGGCCCTGATTGCACCTTTCAGTTAATGATCTATTTCAAATAATAGCCCTGATTGCACCTTTCAGTTAATGGTCTATTTTAAATGATAGCTCTGATTGTGCCTTTCAGTTAATGATCTATTTTAAATGACACCCCTGATTGGACCTCTACATTAATGATCTATTTCAAATGATATATCAAAATTTACTTACCAATAAATCTTCTTTCTGTTTGATAATATTATCTCTGACTTTTTCCAGGTCTAATATTCGTTCCCTAAAAAGTGAAATTTTTAATTTGCAACAGATATAAAAAAAAATTGCAAAAGACTTCTGAGCAATTTAGTGTCTCGGCTCGGCTCATTTCCAATATGATGCGTCTTGGGTCCTAATGATCTCAGGACATGTCTATTGCACAATAACACCCCTCTAAATGCAAAACAGGAAGTGTTTATCTCCTAAATATGCAATAAACATAAAGGGACATTCAAAATGGAAGAATAATGATTCATCTACCTGAGTGATTCATTTTCGTTTCTTAGTTGATCAACTTTCCCAGCTAAATGATCAGCATCATGCATCTTGACAAAACTACCCTTGGACTGCAAAAATACAAAATTAAATCATAATAAACAATTCATCAATGAAATATCTAATGGTTTCATTCATAGCTTATAACCTTGTTTCATCAGAGTTTTTTTCTATTAATCTGTCAGAAAATGGTGTTTCGAAAATTATGCTAGTTTTACAGCTAGTAAATTGAACAGAGTGTCCTGAAACATTTCGGTCAATTTTTAACACAAGCAGTCAGGGGAGAGAGAGAGAGAGAGAGAGAGAGAGAGAGAGAATAGCATATGATTCAATTTTATTCCAATAATTTGCTTGCGCATAGGAGTGAGAGGAAACTGGAGGACCCAGAGAAAATCCACAAGAGAGAGAAATTCTGGGACTAACTTATGGTTCAATTTTATTTCAATAATTTGCTTGCACGTAGGGGTCTTTAGGAATGGGGAGACACAAGCTTGGACAGGTGACCCTACTCCTTGTCAAGTACTACTGGGGGGAGGGGGGGGGGACTTGGAATGATTGCAGTAATGCAGCCGACCACTGCTATCTATTCTTCTTTGTTGTTTTAACTGACTCTGTATACAACTGTTAACATGTCCATAATCTTGGTTTTTTTTATAACTACATTGTATTGTCACTTTGTAAAGTGCTGGTGAACATGTTATATGAAAGGGTGCACTATAAATATGCCAAATAATGCAAAAATAGGTTGACAAGTGACACAACATATGTTGAGCAGCCCACAAAGGTTGTCATATTTTTATTCTTTTATATAATGGGAGCATTTACAAGGTATCAACTAATAATTAAAATTTTATAGGCTTCTGGTTCTGTCAACATTAAAACATTCAGATAATAACTTTTGTTGTTCAAGTTATTGGAAATCATTGAACATCAATTGATAACTTTATCCTCTAGAGCATCCACAAGCTATTGGATGACAGAGAGGCAGGGACATGATAATGTGGGCCTTCATCAAACATAGAGAGAATTGGGGTTTAGTGTCAACTTGACACAAACTAGGTCATTTTGGGACTAACATATGGTTCAATAATTTGCTTGCACGTAGAGGTCTTTAACAGTAGAAGGAAACTGGAGGACTGGGAGAAAACCAACGAGGTTGGACAAGCGACTCTACTCCTTGTCGCGTACAAACGGGGAATCGAAACCACGCCACTTGACTCAATTACAGACCTTCTGATTCAATGCGCACGCATTAACCATTCACCCCCACAACCCAGTTTTCAACTAGAAAGTATCTCTGCATTTTTCAGCACGGTTTCTCTTGTCAGTGGTTCAGAATGGAGATCCTGACAAGAAACAGTACCTAGTTTTCTGGATGGGATGAAAAATATGGATTTGTGTACATGTTGGGTTGTTTACCCTGAATTAGTGGGATGATTTCTTTTTCAGAAAAATGTGAAAACTAGTAGTAAAGTATTTCTACAAATAGAAAATAAAAATTAGTTTAACTTTAAATTTTTTGCACGTAAATTGATTGATAGTTCTCTGTCAGTCTGTCAAGATTTGAAACCTAAGTCCTGTTCTCAAGTGTGTTGCTTCAAATGACCTACATTTTATCAATAAAGTTAATCTGTTAGTAATTCAGTCAAGCTGATCAATACAAACAATTCTTATAGAAAGATATAGAATGACATCTCTAGAACAATCAATACTAGGATTTGGTTTATTGTTGTCTACAGGTCTGAACAAGTTTAAAACAATAACTAAAATACTATTAAATAACTTCAAAAGCAATAAAATTTGTTTGTATTAAAAAAAAAACATTTAATCATAAAAAAATTTGAAAACCCTGTTTAATAAATTAACATAAATGTGTTTAAAATGAAATTAAATGAAATGGGTTTCTGCTCCGACTGGGCTAATGGAGAAGGAAAATGGGTTGGAAAGTACATATTAAAATAAAATTAATGTATATAAACTAATTTACATTCAATTTTTAAAATTTCAATTATAATTTCTAATAAATTATATTTGGTGAAATACGTAAGTAGTCCAAATTGAATGGCAGTTTAGTTAATCTAGACCTTTGTTATTTGTGGATTTTTAATTACTTCAACAATGATTCCAAATGACACTCTTCTTGACCATAGAGAACCCCATATCAGGAACTGATTTTAAAATGTTCATTAAATATTGGATATAATGGACAGTAATGTAACAACATCAATATTAATAGAAGGACCAATAATGAATTATAATTCATGCTTTTAATTTCTAAAATTATGGATAATATTGAATTAGAGCTATACATAAAATAAAGATGCATTATGTAAGAGCTAAATCTGCTTATTGCAGATTAAAATGTTATATACATTATTATCTACACCCATGTAAAGCCCATAAACAACTCTCTAGAACATCAAAAAGCCGGGATAATGAATGGATTAGAACAATTGATCAATATAATCGGTTAACGTTTCTCAATAACAGGTCTAACAATCCAGATTTTGTTTTATATCATGACTACTGTAGTGTACTTGACAATCAGCTATTTCTAAACTTCAAACACTCATAACTTGGTTCAGTAATTTTATTAAAATTTTCAACAGATTCATTTTTCATTATCTACTTTTGAACTATTAAAGCAAGAACAAGTTTTCTTTTATTGAACACTTTTAATGATAGTTATTCACACCATGCTTTCTGTATTTCAAAATTTATTATTGCACCTATGTTTTTTTTTTGCTTTAAAATCAAGACATTTGTGAAAGTTTTAATCAAAACACTTGATCTCCATTCTTTGGTTCAATAAATATTGATAAATGTGAACTTTAAGGGGTCTTTTATTCATAATTGATAAGCTACCATTGCATTCAAATAAAAATATTGTTTTGAAGAGTCAATGACATGTTGAATTAACACTTTAATATTTCTGTTGGTTGAATGAAGAAATTGATTATACAATCAAGGTACACCTATATATTATTTATAAATAGGCTTGCCATGTATTAAGATCAAATTACCTATATTGTTTGATTGAAAAAAATTGTGTCATGTAAATACTATACTATATAATATACAATAGACTGTGAACTCCGGTGACCTGATATTCGATACTCTTCAATCAGTACAATATTTGACATATCTGATTGGTTTGTACATAACATTTATTAAGAACAGTTGTAAACATATTTGTAAAATATACTACGCGATCACATACTCTCTTGCACTACTGTAATATTATCTTATACTATTTGTAAACTATATATATTTTTGATTATTAAAGACTTTTAAGGCAAAGTAAGAACACACAAAATATGTAGACTGGAATTATTTTTTTTTAAAATATAAGTGAGAGATTCCCCCCCCCCCACCAATTAAGGAGAGAGAGAGAGAAATGGGGTTTAACGTCTACTCGACACAAACTAGGTCATTTCGGGACTAACATATGGTTTAATTTTATTTCAATACTTCGCTTGCGCGTAATCAATTAAGGAACTTAAGATACGTTATGTATCTGATGAAGGCCAACTGAGACCAAAACTTTATACGATTAAACACCACTAATCGACACTGCTTCTGTGTCCCTCATTTATATGTTCTATTTTTTTTCTGATTCCCCCCCCCACCACCCCAGCATCTATAGTTCCTCAAGAAGCAGACTTTACATAGATGTCTTCCAAATGTAGAACCATACAGTTTTTAGCAGTTATTCTCCAGTTAACGACTTACATTATCTTTGAAATCAAGTCTAACAATATACTTACACTTTTTGTGAGGACATCTTTCTGGGTTTCCAGTAATTGCATCATTTGTTCATTTTCTGCCTTCTCTTGTAACAGACGACGATTCTCAGCCTTCAATCTGGTAAAAATATAAATTATTTCAATAACATTAAGAACCATATGATTAGATATCATCCAAAAATACCATGTAGGTCTACAACCATGTACGTTGGTTATTAAAGATTATAGAATTAGCATTTAACTCCTAGAAAGATGAGAGGTTTTCGTAATCTAGGATGGACATTCATTCAAACATGGCCACCAATTTATTAATCAAAATCCAAAGTTGAACATACATAGACTTGAGAATTTTTTTTATATACTATTCAAAAAAAGTAGGGGATATTTGATTTTGGGGGCATAATACTAAAATATGCAAATGACTACGAAAAAAGTCACTATAGAACCTAACAGAAGAAACATTTCCAGTTACATATGACGCCCAAACGCACCAATAGCTACCGCATGGAATGCAGGTGATGCTTGGGATCATCATGGGGGTCCAACCCAAGATTTGCACGACTCTGACTTTGAATGTTACAGTCATTGTGGCATTGAATTCCAGGGTGGACACATCAGTTTAATTGATTTAGTGACCAGAAAACAAATTTTGATATGCGTCGGCTTACCCAAAATGAAAGGTTACGTGCCCTTGGCATGCTACAGATCGGCACAACACAGGCGGTTGTGGCGCGGACGATGAATGTTTCTCAGTCTGTCATAAGCAGGCTATGGTCCAGATACCGTGATACACAATCTGTACGGGACAGACCACGCTCAGGTCGACCAAGGGCGACAACTCAAGCCCAGGATCGATTTATCCGTACCTCGGCCTTGAGAAATCGTGTCATCACAGCAAATCAGATCAGCGCTCGTATTCAAACAGACACTGGTGTGAGAGTGAGTGGCCAGACGATTCGGAATCGACTGCATAGGGGTCACCTTCGCGCCCGACGTCCTCGCGTGATCCCTTGTTTGAGAGATCATCACATTCAGGCAAGACGTCGTTGGTGTAGGGATTGTCAACACTGGGATAATCGACGCTGGAGCAATGTGATGTTTTCAGATGAGTCAAGGTTCACTGTTGATTTTTTGGACAGACGTAGGAGGGTGTGGCGTCGTCGAAACGAGCGCTTCCAAGACGTTAACGTCATCAGATATGATCGATTTGGGGGTGGTTCTGTTATTGTGTGGGGAGGCATCACTGTTGCTGGAAGAACGGCTTTACATGTTGTTGCAGGGCGTGTTACAGGCCAGTACTACCGGGACAACATCTTGGCAGTCCATGTTGTGCCGTTCGCACGACGTCATGGCCGCCGTTTCATCTTCCAGGATGACAACGCAAGATGTCACAGGGCCAGGATCGTTACAGGTTACCTCCAACAACAGAACATCACCACATTACCTTGGCCAGCACTGAGTCCCGACCTCTGCCCCATCGAGCATGTCTGGGACATGCTTGGACAGAGGTTACGTCAACGTCAACAACGTCCTGCCAATGTCCAAGAACTTGCTGCTGCATTGCAACAGGAATGGGACAATCTGGACCAAAATGACCTTAGACGTCTCATTAGGAGTATGCCACGTCGGATCAATGCCTGTTTGGCAAACAGAGGAGGATTTACCCGTTACTGACTTGGTTGTGATGCTGTGGTAACTTTGCTGTTTGACCCCGGGTATCATTTTACCCTTATAATGGTCAGTCTGTGCCTTACTTAGTCTAACGATCATTTGGAATAAATCGATGAATGTGAACTTCATTTCATTTTGTCATTTGTTTCTTCGTCAGTTTCATTAGGTGACTTTAATAACACTTAAAAATCAAATATCCCCTACTTTTTTTGAATAGTATATTTTGTCATATTCATCAAGAGATTATATAATATTTTGTTATATCTATAAAGAGGTTATATAATATTTTGTATACCTATCTAGAGATTATATAATATTTTGTATACCTATCAAGAGATTATATAATATTTTGTTACATCTATCAAGAGATTATATAATATTTTGTATACCTATCAAGAGATTATATAATATTTTGTTACATCTATCAAGAGATTATATAATATTTTGGTATACCTGTCAAGAGATTATATAATATTTTACCTATCAAGATCTTCCTCTCTTTCTGTAAGTTCTTCACATCTTGTATTACTTGTTCTTAATTCTTCTCTTAATCTTCCAATCTATTTACAAAATAATACCAACAACAATATTCTATTAATAAACAAGGTACTAACTATTGTCAGGATATCTGTTTTAAGGTCTGTCATTGAATCAACTGGAGTGGTTTTGATTCCCTGTTTGTACATGACAAGGAGAAGGTTCACCTATCCAAACTCGTGGGTTTTCTCTGGGTCCTGCGTTATCCTTCCACTGCTAAAAACCCCTACGTACAAACAAATTATTGAAATAAAATTGAACCATAAGTTAGTCCCGAAATGACATGGTTTGTGTCGAGTGGACGTTAAACCCTATTTCTCTCTCTTTCTCTTTGAAAAGTGAAGGATTATATTCAAATTTGAGAATTTAAATAATAAATTCTTCTCATTACCATATTCTCTAGTTCATGAATTTTATCAGCAGCTTTCTGTAAATCATCTTCTTTACGACTTAAAGAGGTAGTTAAACGATCACATGCATTCTTCCACGTTTCCATATCACCTTGTTGTAATTGTGTGGCATCTTTAACATCTTCATTAGCTTTACGTAATTTCTGATCAATAAAATATGAAAAAAAGTTGGTGACATTTTTTTTTTAAATTTACAATTTGTAACATAAATCTACATACACAAGACAATTCTACAGTCTAATTTATAGTGCAAATCTACTTGGTGGAAAATCTATTTTATAATTAGCCATGGAAATCTACATCCTAATAAATGTATTTGGTGTAAATCTACATTCTATTGAAGTATCTGGTGTAAATCTACATATTACTACATGTCTCTGATGTAAATCTACATATTAATACATGTCTCTGGTGTAAATCTACATCATAATATATCTGGTGTAAATCTACATACTAATACATGTCTCTGGTGTAAATCTACATTCTAACACATGTCCCTGGTGTAAATCTACATTCAATTGAAAGTAGCTGATGTAAGTCTACATCCTACTACATGTATCTGGTGTAAATCTACACCCCAATATATCTAGTGTAAATCTACATTCTAATAGGTTTATCTGGTGTAAATCTACCTCCCAATTTATGTTTTTAATCTACATAATAATTAATTCAAATAGACAATGCAGGTTAACTTACACACACAACAAAACATTGAACATAAAATAAGTAATTTAACCATATGTAAACATAAGACCATATATGTATGTCAATACCATACATGATGTGACCAATAAGACCATATATGTATGTCAATACCATACATGATATGACCAATAAGACCATATATGTATGTCAATACCATACATGATATGACCAATAAGACCATATATGTATGTCAATACCATACATGATGTGACCAATAAGACCATATACGTATGTCAATAACATACATGATGTGACACATCAAGTGTAACTGTGATGGGTACTGTAATAGGACCACAAAAAGGCAACATAATCTTACCGCTTCTAGTTCATGGTTTTTATCTTCTAAATGTGATTTATCTACTTTAAGCTGTTTATAATCACTCTAAAAAGTTAAACGTGTTAGAAGTGTAAAAGAAACAAATTGTGAAAGTAAGAAAAGTTACAAATGTACTAAAAACGTGTAATAACAGCACACATTGTATTCTAAAAGCTTAAAGATACTTTTCTCACTTAGTGAAGTATATGAGGATTATATAAAACCCCAATTAGAGATAAAAAGGGTTCAAGTTTTCAAAAAGGGTCCACAGGGATAAAGGGGTTTGTGTAAAAAAAAAAAAATAATAACTCCCGGTAGAATTCAGTATGAAAATGTTGGTAATTGGATGGCGATCATCTTGCTATCAGAATGGCTATGTACCGGTTGACGGCTCATCAAAGATTTATGTGAAAAGTGGCAAGTCCCTAATATAGGACATTGGACCGAACAGAGTAAACGCAGATGTAGGATGCCCTCATAGATAGATTCAGTCAGTGAAAGAAGATTAGGAACCACTTCTCTTAGTGACAGCTAATAGAACTACAGCCATGCAAGTCAGCCATCTTATATATGTAGGACTGAATGGGCACAAGATGGAGACACCTTTTTACAATCATTAATGATATCTTCTATGACTATTACAAAATATCTATTCTAATATCTACACTATTAACTAAATATTTACTAAAGTGCATGTAAAGATTAATTAAAAATATAAGGATGCATGGCAACTTGATCGGCAATTTGATTTAAAATGTTTCTTCATAATATCTTTTAAAAAATGTTGAAAATCACAGCAATCTATGTGCAAATGAACGTTTCGTAATTTCTATGTGCATTTATCTTCTAAACGTGATCAAGTAGTCATAATATTATTACAACATATCCATCCTTGGCAGTTAGCTCCCTTTATTGATGTCATTATATGCCTAACATCAGATACCAGCATCACTTGCTGCGATCCAATCAAAATCCTGGGTTGGTTGTCAGACAGAAATGAAAATAAAATGAAATGGTGTTTAACATCCTACTGTTCTGCGCCATCTGAGCTAACAAAGATGGGCATAAGTTGTGCAGTGTGCAATGAGGGTAATTTGCCTGGATAACAGCGCTATGGCCTACTCTTAAATCGACTTCCATTTGTAAGACAGACATTTTGATGACATTCAAGGAAGATATAATGTTATAGCACTATGAGCACTTGAATCATGTTATAAAGATAAACTACTACCTTTAATCTGAGATAATTATCTTCTAATATATCTAATTCTCTTCTGTCTTCTCTACTTTTTCCTTCTAAATTCTGTCAGACACAACAACAAAAAATCATTCATTTCATCATAACATTACAATAATTCAGATCTATAGACAGACGTCATCAATGGCAACAAATTGTTTGAAAAATGTGTGTATAAATATATATGTGTACGATCAAAGGTCAAATTTACATCAATCAAACGTCAAGTTCACCTCCATTTAATGTCTAGTTTGCATTAATCAAATGTCAAGTTTACATCAACCAAATGTCTAGTTTACATCAATCAAATGTCTAGTACATCAGTCAAATGTCCAATGTCTTGTTTAAATCTATCAAATGTCCAGTTTATATCGATCAAATGTCCAGTTTATATTGATCAGATGTCCAATGTCTAGTTTACATCAATCAAATGTCAAGTTAACATCAATCAAATGTCAAGTTTACATCAATCAAATGTCAAGTTTACATCAATCAAATGTCTAGTTTACATCGATCAGATGTCCAATGTCTAGTTTACAATATTCAAATTGACTTCAACATCCTACTTTTGATGCACCAACAAGGCTAAAGTTTTATGTCATGCAGTGTCCTATTATGGAAATGATACCAAGGCATTTCCGACTACACATGAACAAAACAGATAGATTTGGATGTTATCATATTAATTACCTGTGATAATCTGTCTAATTCTGTGTCTTGCCTGTGTTTTTCTTGTTCTGTTAAATCTAATTGTTGTTGTAACATATTTCTCGTATTCTCCAACATGTTAATCTGTTCTACAGCTCGTTCATAATATGACTTGACAGACGATAGTTCCGTAGATAATTCTTCACACACCTTTAATCAATAAATAAACAAGACATCAATAACTATTTGATCATTTAACCCTTTAGCGATTAGTCAGCTCAAAACCACCTGAAACTACTTCTCTATCTGGCCTCTCAAAACCAGCTGAAACTACTGCCCCTAACCTCTCAAAACTGCCTGGAACTACTGCCCCCTCTAGCCTCTCAAAACCACCTAAAATTACTGCCCCTCTAGCCTCTCAAAACCATCTGAAACTATTGATCCCTCTGGCCTCTTAAAACCACCTGAAACTAAGTCATGTGAGAGAGAGAGAGAAATGGGGTTTAACGTCCACTCGACACAAAATAGGTCATTTCGGGACTAACATATGGTTTAATTTTATTTACATAATTCGCTTGCGCGTAGGGGTCTTTAGCAGTGGGAGGAAACCGGAGGACCCGGAGAAAACCCACGAGGTTGGACAGGCGACCCTACTCCTTGCCAGGTACAACCGGGGATTCGAAACCACGCCAGTCTACTCAATGACAGACTTTATGATACAGCGCGCGCACGCTAACCATTCAGCCATCCAACCCCCCCTAAGTCATGTGAATAGCCGTGAACTATTTAAGGACCATAATATGCTAGTATACTAATTCTGTGACTCAGGTGGTTTGAGGTAGTCTAGGAATTGGTTTCGAGCGATTCCAAAAACTGAGCTTCAACACATCATTTTTTCAGAGAAATAAACCTTCTGAGGATATTTAAGACTTTATTATAATTTTAATAAAATAAATTTTTGACCTTTTTTACAGCACTTAGCTCCTCTTCCATATTGCGTAATTCTTCATATTTCTGAGTTCCTGCAGATTTTGTTCTGGATAATTGTGTCTGCTGGTCTGTGACTTGTTCTTCAAGAAGTTGTTTATGCTTTCAATGAAAAGAATAAAATAAAATATTTTCTTCATTAACAATAGTGCGTTGTATGTGTCACAAGTCCCTGTATGTAACAGGTCCCTATGTTCAAAACTGCCTAAGACCTCAAACCATAAAAACCCTTGTTAAATAATGTTCTTCCAGCACTTCTATGACTTACTTTTATTTTGAATTCAACGTATACTCAGGACTTTGGTTTTGATCCCATCCGAATGACTAAACTCTTTTATAGGGCTTTCACTTAAAAATGTTGCCAATCTTTTTTTTAACTTGAATCAAAAAGACATTGTTTTCAAAAGATATACATTTACCTGTAATAATTCCTCTTTGTCTAACTTCAATTGTTGAAGTTGATGATTTGTTTCTAGTTTTTCCTGGAATAATCTGTCTTTATCTACAGTTGTAGAATGTAATTTGGTTCTTAGTTCTGATATTACTGACTGATAATTCTCTACTTGTTTAGAAGATCTACTTTTATCCTGAAAAATGAAAGATATGTTGGATGTAATAACTTCCTATTACTCTGCTGAAACTGCAAGCATGGGAAACTACACCCTGTGAGTACATTTTGCAAAAGCAGCACTTTTTCAACAATTTCTTTTACTACTTATTCACATGTGCGATAAACGTCACTTTTGATTTTATTTCTGTTCTTTTTTTATTGATTTTTTTTTATCTGATGACAAACTACAATTTATATCTCTCTCTTCATTATGTTGTTATTTTAAAAGCCAAATGATAATGAATAATAAATTAAAAAGGATGCAATCTAATTAAAATAAAGATCCTATTTAGTTTCATTTTTTATAGTCCAAAATTTCCTTTTACTTGTCTTTACTACACTAGGATCTGGAAGAGTTGTTATATAACCCGCGTTTTGGTTGATGTCTGTTGTGCCGAGCTCTTGGCGTGCGGTGCATGACATTCGCAGCAGAGACAAAGCAACGTTGATTGGTTAATCAAAAGTCGCTTGTTTGACCCCTGATATAAGTTGTCAGTCCTTTTATGTAGGGGAGGCCATCAAAAAGATAAAAATACGAAACGATATATAGATCTGTATTTTAATCAGATTGAAAAGTATGTGTCATGGCATCTTCTTTTCACATTTTTGGACTCTCTATTTGACGAAAACTTAAAAAGTAAGTAAATTTTTATGGATGCATCCATTTCATTGTTTGAGAGTTAAAATTTATGGACAACTTTCAGTTATTGATCAATGAAAAATGTTTTTGTAAATCATGTCTCTGGCTACATCCCTGATAAAAAAGGGGAATTGGATGGCTGAATGGTTAGCGGGTGCGCGCTGCATCATACAGGCTGTGATTGAGTCAACTAGCGTGGTTTTGATTCCCCGGTTGTAAGTGAAAAGGAGTAGGGTCACCTGTCCAACCTCATGGGTTTTCTCCAGGTCCTTCGGTTTCCTCCCGCTCCCAAAATGACCTAGTTTATGTCAAGTGGACATTAAACCCATTTCTCTCTTACTCTGATAAAAACAAATCTGAGTGGTCTCATTCCAGCAAGATATCAATAATGATAATTACAAACCTCTGCTATATTTTTCCAGTTACTTGTTACTCTGTCATTTTCATCTTTAACAGCATGTAATAAATTTCTTAATTCAACCATTTGACCGGCCATTTCATGGATTTTCTTACTTAATATTGTATTTTCCTAGAATAAACCCATAATATATTATGAAATATCTTTATCATTTCATAATTATAACCTGACGATATTTAATCTTATAAATGAAATGAAAACTGTATATGATGTCATACATTGTGACATAAGGGAAATGTTTTACCAGACTTCAGCGTTTCAGCCTAATTTTGATCAAATTTTAACTGTCAAGGGTTCTTTTAAGTGAATGTCAAAACCATACTCAGGGTTTTTTGTACCATCTGAAAGAATAGATGCTTTTCCTTGCCAAGCCCTCTTTCCTGGACTACTGACAAGGGGAAAAAAGGGTGGAAAATTTTGAGGAACTTTCTTGGTCAACATCAGATTCGAACCCAAGACCTCCTGGTTAGTGATCCAGCACCTTACTCACTGAGCCACATTGGATCCACAGCACCTTACCACAAATACTTCTATTTAATCTGTGTCTCAGTGTGTAATGTGCTAGCTAACTAACCAGGCCCCAAATTTACAAAGCATTCTCAGACTTAAGAAAATGAAATGAAATGGGTTAAGAATTTACTCAATTTTCATTCACTGTTTATAAGAAATGTCATTGATCCAGAAATACAAAATTTTGTATAGAGTTTTTTATTGATGTATTTGATACACTAAAACAACAAAAGTTTTATAAAGGGCTATATATTAGTAAGGCAAACAATTTGGAATAAATTCTTAACTTAAGTCTGAGAATGCTTTGTGTGAACTCGGGCTAGGTCTACGGTTTGATTATGGTATGGCTGAGATAGTTCCCTGAGCTTTCCCTGTTGCCAATGCTGGAGGATGAGGGGTCTGGTAAGGAATGCTGTTTTCAAGGTCTTGTGTGCACATAGGTCTGCAGAGTACATAAAGAACCCTTAGCAGTTGGAACTTGAAATAAGAGTAGGCAGTAGTGCCACTGTCTGGCCAAAATTTCCCTCATAACACATGGCTTGGTGAATATGTCCATCTTCATTAGTCCTGTTGGTGCAGGATAGTGGGATATTAAACTTTCAACCTACACTAAGCTGAAAGAATTTAATAGAAAATGTTTACCTGTGTCAATCTATTAGCATCAGTTTTTAATATTTTATTCTCTTCAACAGTAGGTGCATGTTTAGATTTAGTGAGTTGTAAAGTTTCTTTTAGAATATCAACTTCTTGTAATATTGTATCACGGTGCTGAAATGTTTAAACACGCTATTAAATAAAACCACACAAAAACAAACATGGGTGTTGTGATGTGATTAATGGAAATTAGTTATGTCTAAATCTCTGTGCTATACTTAATATTTGGTCATATGCCTGATATGTTTTCTCATCCATCTACACCCAGTCTCCCATCCCCTATCATTTGCTATCTCATCCATCTCCACCCAGTCCACTTTCATTAACTATCTCACCCATCTACACCCAATCTCTCATCCGCCATCATTTACTATCTCATCCATCTCCACCCTGTCTATCATCCACTATCATTTACTATCTCACCCATCTCCACCCAGTCTCCCGTCAAATTATTGTCTACTATCTCACCCATCTCCACCCAGTCTCCCGTCCATTATCGTTTACTATCTCACCCATCTCCACCCAGTCTCCCATCCACTATCGTTTACTATCTCACCCATCTCCACCCAGTCTTTCATCCACTATCATCTAATATCTCACCCATCTACATCCAGTCTCTCATTCACTATCGTTTACTATCTCATCCATCTCCACTCAATCTCTCAACCACTATCATTTACTATCTCACCCATCTACACCCAGTCTCTCTTCCATCTACACCCAGTCTCCCATCAATTGCCACAGTTTCTCATCCATTTGCATCTACTTTCTTAATCTACATCATGCAGTACCTAATCCTTCATCTGGCTTTCAACCAAAATACTTGGTTGGTCTTCTCAAATTCTTTTTGAAGTTTTAAAGTTGTAATCAAAACATGGTTCACAAGACTTGGGTTGAGATTTATATACCTTGAAGAACTAAAAGTGAAATTGTTTTAGACTTATTGTGCTCAGGTGCTGATGACATTAAAAAACCTAAGTGAATCACACGTGCCAAAAAATCCTGACAAATGAATATATTTACCATTTGTAATTTACAGTTTTCTTGTTCGAGTAAAGATAACGCTGCTGTTGTTTGATCTAATAAAGATGTTCTCTTGTCATTCTCACTACTTGTATGTACGTGTTGACTCTGTAGAGATTTCAACTGGAAGTCTAATGTATCAATTCTAAAAAATAATTCAAATTATGGTATATTAAGGGCTTATGAAGACGAGTAGACGACATGCAATGTGCCTTGAGGAGAAATTTTGACGTCTATTCTTCATTGTATGACAATTGTAAAGGTATTTTTTATGTTGACATCAACGACAACACAGGTTTACCTCAGTTTTCATCCCATACAAATGAATAGATGCTTTACCTGCGCCAGTGAAACTGATCTCTTTGGTAGTATTTCAAATTTAATTTTTAGATTCAATGTTTAGAATAGGTATTCTTTACCTGTCTTGCATCTCTTGTCGCAGTCTAAGATTTTCTGTACGTAATCTTTCATTTTCATCTTCATATTGTTGCAGGTTCGAAATTTTTCTGCGATACTCCTATAAAATAGATTTAGATTATAATGTAGACAGATTATAATGTAGACAGATTCCTTGTTAATTTAACTAATACATGAATATTAGGCATAGTCTATAAAATAGATTAAGATTATAATGTAGACAGATTCCTTGTTAATTTAACTAATGCGTGAATATTAGGCATAGTCTATAAAATAGATTTAGACAGATTCCTTGTTAATTTAACTAATACACGAATATTAGGCATAGTCTATAAAATAGATTTAGACTTTCCTGTAGACAGATTCCTTGTTAAATTAACTAATACCTGACTAAATTTGAATATTAGGCCTAGAGTATAAAATAAGAGAAAAATACTGATCAAAAGCAATAAATATAACTGACATGGAATATTGAACACCAAAAAATCAGTTTAAATAGGTTTGAAAAACAGAGAAAGAGAGAGAAATGAGGTTTAACATCCACTTGACACATACTAGGTCGTTTTGGGACTAACATATGGTTCACATTTTATTTCATAATTCGCTTGCACGTATTGGTCTTTAGCAGTGAAAGGAAACCGGAGGACCCGGAGAAAACACATGAGGTTGGACAGGCGACCCTACCCCTTGTCACATACAACCGGTGAATCGAAACCATGCCGGTTGATACAATGACAGACTTAATAATACAACGTGCACACACTAACCATTCGGCCATCCAACGCCTCTGTTTGAAAAACAACCCAAATATAAATATTAGAATTTCTTAAAAATACATACTCTTTCTTTACATTTTAAATCTTCGACGATATAATCATTATCCTTAGCAGCAGTCTCTATTTTATTCAATCTTTCATTCTGAAGCTGAAAATAAAATAAAGACATGTTTTTGTTTCTGTTCTTTTTACATCACAATAAAATAATTTTTTAAACTTGTATGAAAATTTGCAGCGAATGTAATAACATTACAAGAACTTGAATTAAAAGGATTCAAATTTTACATAAACCAGGATTTCAAATAAAAAATTTAACCAAATAAACCGATTCAGGATACAAGATAAAGATCCTGGTCAATAGAAAATAAAACAAGAGGCCCAAGGACCTCATAGATCACTCATAGATTAAGGAGAGAAAGAGAGAAATGGGGTTTAACGTCCACTCAACACAAACTAGGTGATATCGGGACTAACTTATGGTTCAATTTTATTTCAATAATTCACTTGCACGTAGGGGTCTTTAGCAGTGGGAGGAAACCGGAGGACCCAGAGAAAACCCATGAGGTTGGACAGGCGACCCTACTCCTTGTCACGCGATTAAGAAGATTTTGCTTATTGAGAATATGAATGTCAACAACATTATACCACTTTATTCTATTTCCGTGATTAAATCAAAGTGACAATCAAACATGTTCAAAAATGATTAAAATTATGTTAAATATTTAAAGTCATAAGTCAAAATATGCTCCCTCAAGCTGCTCCTGCCATGCCCTCATGGGCCAAAGCACCATTGCTTGAACAAATCTGAATACTGGTAAGCATCAGGCTACATATATATCTATCCATATTGGGTGGCTTAGAAGAAAAAGTCGAAAATATCTACCTCTGAAATTCAGAGTGCTGCTGCCCACAACTATGGTGCCAAATGCCTTTATTTGAGCAAATCTTTACAAACAATGCCTACCCAATATGGTTGAAAAAGAGAGAGAGAGAAATGGAGTTTAACGTCCACTCGACACAAACTAGGTCATTTCGGAACTAACATATGGTTTTTAATTTTATTTCAATAATTCACTTGCGCGTAGGGTTCTTTAGCAGTGGGAGGAAACCGGAGGACCCGGAGAAAACCCACAAGGTTGGACAGGCGATCAAATATGGTTGAAATCCATCAAAACTTTCTATGAGGAGAATTCAAAAATATCTTAATTTGACCAAACAACAAACCTGTAGTGTGTCTTGAGCTTCTTTAAGTTTATGCATCAAAAGGGAACGTCTGTGTTCGCTGTCTTGTAACGAATCCTGTAATCCACGATGAGAACCTTCGAAACCAAAATGTGAGGGACTAGGTGATCGAGACGAAAGGTCACTAACGCAACTATTTAAACGTGACATGGAATTTGATCTTCTTAATCGTGTCGGCGTGGAAGGATAGTCGTCTGATGAAAGGTGGCGGGAACGACTTCGTACTCCAGATCTGGAAAAAATTTGAACTTTTTCAATTTTTAACATTACTAATTTCTGAAATATGGGTTTAATTAGTAAACAGTCATTTTGTAATTTTGGAGCCACAGTGTCTCAGTGAGTATGGCACTGGCTTATTTTCCTGGAGATTCCAGGTTAGGTTTTCCCAGTCTGGTTTCCTATTGTTAGTGGTGCAGGACACCATTGAAGGCTCGTCAAAGTTCCTCTTTTCAATCAACTGACATGACTGACATTTTTTTGTTTGTTATAAATTTATTCAACTTAATTGGTAAACCCTACAAATTCTAAAACATGATACTGGAATACATAATATGTCTTGGACTTACTATCAGAATACATCATATGACTTGGACTAACTATCAGAATACATCATATGAATTGGACTTACTATCAGAATACATCATATGAATTGGACTTACTATCAGAATACATCAGAATACATCATATGAATTGGACTTACTATCAGAATACATCATATGAATTGGACTTACTATCAGAATACATCATATGAATTGGACTTACTATCAGAATACATCATATGAATTGGACTTACTATCAGAATACATCATATGAATTGGACTTACTATCAGAATACATCATATGAATTGGACTTACTATCAGAATACATCATATGAATTGGACTTACTATCAGAATATATCATATGAATTGGACTTACTATCAGAATACATCATATGAATTGGACTTACTATCAGAATATATCATATGAATTGGACTTACTATCAGAATGCATCATATGAATTGGACTTACTATCAGAATGCATCATATGAATTGATCTTACCCGAATCCACTATCAGTATCAGGAAACATGACTGGTAGATCATGAATAGCTTTAACAGGTCCACCACGACCTGGACTAGTATGAACAGGAATATGATCGTAATAGGACTGCTGCATGTTGTATGGTTCTTCGTTATTTACATCATTATGATTTGTACTTCCAGGCTGAAATAAATCAAGATATATTGACGAAGGTATAATACTCTGTTTGTTGGAACATTTGATAACACTTTTGCATGAGGGATATCTTATCATACAAACAGTACACTTGCTACTATTTTCTCAAATTCAACTTTTAAAACCACTGACTGCCATTAACATTTTTTGCAATAAATATCTAATATCTAATACAGTATCTAATTCCATGAATATATCTGTTTTACTGAAACAGATTATACAACATTTCATCTCCTGGCTAGTTTTAATTGAGTTTAACAAAGGCCAACAAAAGATTTTAATCTGTTTGTATCATTTGCTGAATTTTAACCGATTTTCAGTTCATTCATAATATCTTTGTAAATATTGAATGAAACAAATCTGATTTTAATACAGATCTATATTTCGTTTCGTTTTTTTATACTTTCGAGTTCGACAGCCTACACTACATTAAGATCTGACCGGTTGTAATGGAAGGTCGTGTCAGGTGTTGTACAAGTGGCTTTTGAACCTATGATGTCAGACATTAATCAATCAATCACCATTGACGTTTCTAGTGGTTTACCCAAATTTCCGTGCACCTCACACCAAAAACTGGCCTAACAGACTGTTTCCTTGGCTAATCCCTCACATCATCCAGAACGCGGGTTATACAACAACTTTTCCAGATCCTAGTGTAGTAAAGCCAAGTAAAAGGAAATTTTGAACTATAAAAAACGAACTGAAATAGGATCTGTGTTTGAATCAGATAGGAATGAAACTGAACAAATTTTGAACTTAATATTCCTTTTCCAGATTCATCTTTAAACAGTATTGTAGCATTGTAACCTGGATATCATTTAATCTTGTGTATTTAGCACTAAAATTTCTTTCGTATTTATTCAATATCAAATCTTTGTTTACAAACTTGAAAAAATCTATAAAATCACCAAAAATCATCTAATTTGTACTTGTGTCCAGTTTAAAGCTGACCATTCAATTTTGATAATGAGTGTCTAATTTACAAGTGTTTAATTTCTCGATCACTGTTAAAAAATAAACAATCCAATTCATTATTGATGTATAATGATTAATTTTTGAACAGTGGTCAGGATATTAAACATTTTTAAATAGGAAACTCACTATCAAAATTAATCATTCAGCTTTAAACTGAACCAATCAGGTGATTTTAATGATTTTTTCAAGTTTTTAAACAAAGATTTGATATCGAGTGAACGTGAAAGAAATTAGTGTTAAATACACAAGATTAAATGATATCCATGTTACAGTGTAGATTGCAAGAGATTCAAAATTCCTCAAATAACTATCAGTAGCTCTAAATTGAAATACATGTCTCTATAAAAAATAACTTGAATCATTACAAACTCATTACAATCACACAATCCGTTTTAACATCATCAGTTTTGTTGACAATGATATCTTTTTTATCTCCCCTTGTTTTAGAATTATTGATTAGTCTATTATACTACAGTGAATGTGATGCTTCTACGAGTGCACAATCGTAAAGTCAATGTGAAACCAATATCATATAAAGACTTTGAAGGAGTGCAAGTATGAGCAATAAAAGGTTAACATAATACAGACGTATTTCACTGAAAACATTTTTCTTTATTAAAATCTCTGTGCCACATTGGGACGGGTTGGATGGCCAAATCATTAGCATGTATGCACTGTATCATAACATCTGTCATTGAGTCAACTGGCGTGGTTTCGATTCCCCAGATGTATGTGACAAGGAATAGGTCGTCTGTCCAACCTTGTGGGTTTCCTCTGGGTCCTCTGGTTTCCTCTACTAAAACTCCTATGCGCAAGCGAATTATTGAAATAAAATTGAACCATATGTTGTCGAGTGGACATTAAACTCTCTCTCTCTCTCCCTCCCTCTCTCTCTCTCTCCCTCACTCTCTGTGCCATATTTACATTTTGTGCAAAAATGTCAAATTGTCCACAACTTAATCCATGCTAAAATGTACTCAGATTGATTATCTAATATCTAATAAAGAAAACAAAATTAAAACACCAACAGAGGATAATCTCCCTCCTTGGATTCAATCAGATATTGGTCAAAAGTTTGTGGCAAAGATTTCCACAGGGTTCCCGCGGCTTCGTCAAACATTTTTTCAAGGATATTCAAGGATAAATATACGTCAAATTCAAGGATTTTCAAGGACATTTTTTAGCCTAAAGTTACAATTTTTCATCTTAAAAATAACCAAAACATTACCAACTATCGTTATAATCTCATATTTAAAAGCAATTGAAGACATTTGAAACAAAATTAAGGATCTCAACTGAAATTCAAGGATATTTTCCTATTTCCGCGAAATTCAAGGATATTCAAGACCTTGAAAATGAAATTTTAAATTTAAGGATATTCAAGGATTTTCAAGGACCGCGGGAACCCTGTTTCCAGTGGCGCTGGATTTTGACCAGATTCTACATAATAAAGCAACATTATTACCTTTAAGTTCAAATTACACAAAATAACATTATTTCATTCCAAACTTCAGATTTTTAATTTTGAATCATAATTTTCAAAAAGATAATTTCAAATCTAGAATCTGGAAATTTACCTTTTAAGTGGGTAAACCCTCTGAATGCAAATTAAACCAAATTTCTGCCTAGACGGTCAATGCCAAATATCTAGGCTAAATGTTTGGTTGTGCTAGAATACAACTAGTTGTTGATCTTACAACAAACTAGTATATTGTTACATATATGCAAATACAACGGGACAAATATTATTATTGGCAGTCCTGAGTTTGGACACTCTAAAGTTCACTCATGTACATAATTGAACAGAATAATTTTTATTGATAAATATAGGAACAACATTTTGCTTGATAAAGACGAGAGTGCCATCATAGAAAAGATTATTAAACTGGTAATTGTTTTGATTTGTTACTCGTCAATTACTAAATGTCACTCAAACAACTGTTGATTACTTGACCAATTAAGCATGACCAATTATGCACATCAATCAAGCGTGACATATTATACACATCAATCAAGCGTGACCAATCGTTTGTGTGTATTATGAGAGATAACAATGGTAGTAATTATATCATTGATCCGACTATTAATAGGTGAGAAAAGCTGATCAATGATTATTACCATAGTATTATAGGACGCCATGGCTAGGTGTTATAAATATAGCACACTATGAGGCCACATTGATTGACCTTTTACATTTTATTTCAACTGACTTCAGGACAATCAATCAAATCTGAGCGGAGTTGAAAAGTGTCAGGAAATCAAATTTCAGATTGTCTGCGATATCACCTTGGTTGAAGCAGAGTTAAATAAAGCTATTTCACACACAAATCTGAGCTGAGTTAAAGAGTGTCAGCAAATCAAATTTTGAGCTGTCTATAATATCAAATTTATTGTATTGGAGGTTAAATCTGTAATAAATAACAAAAAATTGAGCTGAGTTGAAGAGTGTCAGGAAATCTTGGTCATTGTGATTCATGTCAAGTATTCAGCACAGAATGCATAGGTCTGTCATTAAAAAAAACAAACAGGATTATCGCTGAAGGTCCGTTCTACTTTTTAGAAGAAATACAAACTTTCAGTTTCCATGAGGGGTTGCAATAAAACCCCAAATTCCAGACAAACTTTGAATAATAATATTTCATTAAATAGCAGACATAACCTAACATCTCAATTTTTTGTCTTAAAACTTTTAATCAGAAGTACAGTAGTCTGTCAAGTGAATGTCGAACATCATTTCTCACTCTCTCCTTTATTTTAAAAGCTATAAAGTTTGTTAAATGATCAAATAGAAAGAATGAAGACCTTGTAAATCAATATTGCTTTATTACACATACATGTATTAGTAGGAGTATTCTGGGGGTTGGATGTCGTGTTGTATCATAAGGTCTGTCATTGAGTCAACTGGCGGGGTTTTGATTCCCCGGTTGTACGTGACAAGGAGTAGTGTCGCCTGTCCAACCTCCTAGGTTTTCTCCAGGTCTTCCTGCTTCCTCTCACTGTTAAAGACCCCTATGCTCAAGTGAATTAATGGAATAAAACTGAACCATATGTTAATCCTGAAATGACCTAGTTTGTGTCGAATGGACATTAAACCCCATTTCTCTCTCTCTAAGAGTATTCCAGCGATGAATCAACCCTTCCTAAAAGTACAGTAAATGGGTGCAAGAATCACTGATTCAGTGCAGACAAGATTTTTGAATATCAGTGGACAAAAAGAAATTAATCCTCCCAAAATAATCCACATGTAACGAACTCCAAACAACAACCATGACAAGACTGTATACATGTACAAAGTATAAAGATTTAATCCCGGACACATTGATAAAGGACTATTTAGAATACAGTCTTTTCAAGTTTGTTGCTTAGATATTAATACCTATGGATTATTGTTGGAATATTGTTAATGCTTTGTATGAATCTGTAGTAAGATTTGGTTTAGAATATTATAATCAACTATAATTAGATAAATCTTGATAAATCTTGCCCCAAGTTCATAAAGCATTCTCAGACTTCAGTTAAGAATTTACTCAAAATTGTTTGCCTTATTTTAACTAAAATATAGCCCTTATAAAATTTTTGTTATTTTAATGTATCAAATACATCAATAAGAAACTATGTGCAAAGTTTTATGTTTCTAGATCAAAGATATTTCTCGTAAACAGTGAATAAAAGTTGAATAAATTCTTAATGTAAGTCTGAGAATACTTTGTGAACTTGGGGCCTTATCTTTTTTATTGTATACAATAACGGTCAATTGTCTCAATATATGTACCGGTAGTATAGTCAGTAATTAGGTGATCACCACAAATGGATCAAATTGATTCTGAGATTCTATAGACTGATTCCTGATAATAATGTATAGGGCCTACAATCTTGCCAAAGAAGAATCAATGGTTGAAAACAATCAAAAAAGCACTCGAAAAGAAGTTAATAAGAGATCAGATGTATGCTCTAATGCTAGGTTTCCACTATTACGATTCGCGCTACGATGATTGAAATTGTGGTTTTAATCATGGAGTAATCGTGGTGATCCTATCAGGTCTTATCATATATCGAGGTCAGTCGTAGTAATCGTGTTAATCATATCGAAACGTATCCGAACGCATCTGCACATACCAGATACAATCCTATCGTGTAAACCGGTAGTTTTCAAACCCTTTTTTTTGCCATCGGCACACCTTGGAACACATGAAAAAATAACCGCACACCTGGCTAAATATATATGAAAAATATTTCAATTTTGCAAAATAAAAACATGGCAATTCATAGACGGCATACAATCGTAGACACAGACTAGTCATAGACACATAGAATGACTTAAACTAAATAAAAGAAAAATACAGCTACACCAGTGAATATGCTATTGGGATCACATGGGTTTTTTATGCATTTTCTTAGTGTGCCGTTCAAAATTTGGCTGCACATTGGTTAAGAATCACTGCTCTATGCACTGGTTTGTTTAGTTTAGTTGAACCCAGGTAAATCAAAAAGATTATATCTCAAAATTATCTAAGTATGTAAAATGCTCAACAAAGACAAACTGCCATTCCTCAAAACAAAAGTGCTAGATTAAGCAAAAGGGTGTTCCATTTTAAGAAATTTTAATAAATAATGACAAGATGTGTCTATAATGAATGTTAAAAGACATATTTCAGCACAGTACTATATTTATTCTACATGTATATAAATATTTAATTTGGTTATTTGTAGAAGTTTAAGTATGATAGTATGTGTAGAAATGGAATGAAAAAAAAATGAAATGATTTTTAACATTCTGTTGTTTTGCTCCGACTGGGCTAATGAAGACGGGCATACACTGTAAAGTATGCTACATGTATGACGGAAATTTTGCCCGGATAGCGGCGCTACCGCCTACTCTTGTATCGAATTTCAACTGCCAAAGGAACTTTTACATGCACGCCAATGTGTACGTTTGTTGTCCCTTGCCAGGCCCTCTGTCCTGCACCACTGACAAGGGGGAACCACGCTGGAAAATAGAGGTGAACTTTCTCACCCAATGCTGGGATCAAACGCAAACCTCCAGCCATGTTTTAATCCTTTATACACATATAGGAGAGTAAATTTGGCTCCTAATATATTTAAATTCTGAACATAACTGACAGGTAAAATGATAATAAACTATTTTTTCTAAATGAGTATTTAATACTTGAAATAAAGTGCATGGTAAAATCCAAATGTTTTCATCTGTTGCAACTCTCAAAGTATATGTATTACCCACTCACTTAATATGAAAATCAAATGAAATGGGGTTTAACATCCTGTTCTGCTCCTACTGGGCTAATGAGGATGGACATACGCCATACAGTTGCCATGAGGGCAATTTGCCCGGACATCACTCAATATGGATCATGGATCCAAATTATTTTAAGGACTAGTTTATGGCAGTATTGGGGGATCCAAATTATATTTGGACCCTGTGTAGTGTAAGTGATAACATTAAACTTTGGGAACTCACATTCAAATATTTTCTGACTATTTCAACATTGTTTCACTTTAAAATATTTGAAAATATAGATTCGTCATTTGATTTGCAATAAACCAAGTTCTAAAACTTACAGGTATTGTCACTTTATCTAGACAGGTGCACTTAACCTTGTTGTCACTATAAACAAACTTATCTCATTTACCTATATGTATATATACATTCAAATAAAATACACTTTTCACCAGGGTCATTTTGTATCTGTAATGCTGGTCAATACTGTCTGTGAAATTATTCTATATTGAAATGTTTGAGTATTCAAAGTTTAATAATTTTTCAAAGCTATTAATCTGAATTTCTACCTTTCGTTTTTTTTTAATGTTAATTAAAACTAATAATGGTGTCTTCTTACATAACGATTTGACAAAAAGCTTCCCATGTTGATTTTGACTAAGTTCTTAAAAATATAAATGTAGCTTAAATATTGTGTTATTTCTGTTACAGCTGTCTTTTGGACATACAACTACGTAATAACTATTTCCCTAGTCTTTCTTTATTCAGTATTTTTAATAATTGTGGAATTATTCTAATTTGAAATATAGAGATCCACAAATTCAAATTTTATTCTTCCGTAACGTATACCACCAATGTATGTTTTCATCCCATTCTGATATTGTCATAATTATGTATAATTTACATGCCGTCCGAAAAGTGTGTTTTATCTAATAAATATCTATTAAAAATATGATTACTATCGCATCTTTAAACGTAAAAACAAAACAAGAAAAATAACACTGCAAAAATAGTAAAGAGTGCAACATTCATTAAGTCTATCTCATTATTCATCAGCGACTAATTCCTGACAAATTAACTTAGAAACCAATCTACAAAATTGTCACACCTAAATTAATTACCAATTACGGTACAACTAATTTTCTACATCACCATTACATACCCATTGTTCCAATATCAATTTGGTTAAAGATTCGAAATATTCCTGTTCATACACATTAGACATTTCTCTACAAAGATATACAGTAACGCACACTTGTTTTATGTTAGATATAGATAAATATACATACAGGATATATAATAAACTAACAATAATTCTTCTTATTATATCTCACAGTTTCCTAATATCTCCCTCCAACCACAATACAACTCATTATCACTACACATAATCAAAAAATATGTCACTCAGAATAACAAACATTTGAGAAACATAATCGTAAATTAGAAGGCATGGACACGTAAATTAAAACGTAACGTACCCTCATTTTTGACACAACACCGCTAAATAAGAATCCATAGTCAATATAATACTGTAGGTGAACACAAGATCATTGAATAGTCAGACCTCCACAAAGACCTGATAAGACAAACGGTGAGTGTACTGAAGTGTGGTATAATACATGTTGCAGCATGTTGTAGCTCAAGTACTCACAGTATTAAATCTATTTACTTCAATCAGTTTTACCTGTACTGTTTCAATATAGGTGTGCAAGTTATATTGTAAAGATTCATCAATATTCTAATTATCATAAATAAATACCCTACCTATAGAGACAATGGTCAATTAAAATAAGTAATATTGTAAAGATTCATCAATATTCTTATTATCATAAATAAATATCCTACCTATAGAGACAATGGTCAATTAAAATAAGTAATATTGTAAAGATTCATCAATATTCTTATTATCATAAATAAATATCCTACCTATAGAGACAATGGTCAATTAAATTTAGCAATAATTAACAGAAATAGGTAAATTAAATAAAATGGAGTTACTTCTTTGCTACCTGTAGAGACAATGGTCAATTAATGGAAGCAATAATTAACAGAAATAGGTATATTAAGTAAAATGGGGTATACTGCTTTCATTGTACTCTTGAGATTCATCAATATGCTTATTGTCATAACTAAATATGTCCCACCTGTGGAGACAATGGTCAATTCAAATGACTTAATTAATGGAAGCAATAATTAACAGAAATAGGTACATTAAGTAAAATGGAGTATTCTGCTTTCATTGTTCATACATGTACTCTTAATAAGATTCATCAATATGCTTATTATCATAACTGAATATCCTACCTGTAGAGACAATGGTCAATTAAAATGACTTAATTAATGGAAGCAATAATTAACAGAAATAGGTATATTAAGTAAAATGGAGTATTCTGCTTTCATTGTTCATATGCATATTATCATAACTTATATAGGCTTTGCCTGTTGTTCATTCCTTTTCAAATGAATAAAATATTGTTTAAACTAAATCATAACTAAATATCCTACCGGTAGCTGGTCAATTAAAATGACTTAATGGAAGCAATAATTAACAGAGATAGGTATATATAATAATTATTATAATTATAAGCAGGTTTCAATTCATCAATATTTTAATAATCATAAATAAATATTTATCCTTTTAGTAACAATGTTCTATTAAAGGACTTAATGGGAGCAATAATTAAAACATTAATTTTTGATTTGGCTAGATGTTAGCGGGTCCATAATTTTTTAGAAACTTCAAAGAATAATGTGAATCTAATGCTAGAGGGTGAACTGACAGGTGATGGTTAGAGGATCACATTCCTGAATAAATATTTCACTTTTAGCAAAAATATTCAATTAAAAGGACATTTAATCAATCAGTAATTAAAGCACGATTCTTAGCTAGAGTGGTAGAGGAGGTTCATTTATTTTTAGAAATAAGAAACAGAGGGAAATTGGGTTTAATGTCCATTTGACACAAACTAGATAATTTTGGGACTAACATATGGTACAATTTTATTTCAATAATTCGTTTGCGCATAGCGGTCTTTATATAATTAGCAGTTGGCTGAAACTGGAGGCCCTGAAGAAAACCCACGAGGTAGGGTACAGGGAATAATGTGATTCTGGTGATATAAGCAGACTGACAGACAAAGTATAAGAGAAAAACATTCCTGAATCCACAGTGATTTTTGATTATGGGTTTCGAAAAAGAGGACAGTACAATTACTTTACTAAGGCTGCACTTGTACAAGACAATAAAACTTTCCAAATAAACAGTGAGACAAACACGAGGGCACCACAGATAAAATAGCAAGCAATCAGAGAACTATTCGAGACAAACACAAGGATACCACAGATAAAATAGCAATCAATTAGAGAACTATATGAGACAAACACAAGGCCACCACAGACAAAATAGCAAGCAATCACAGAAATATAGAACATGCAATGTTTGGCATCTATAATACTCATCTTAATTATATTATTTAGGCCCTTATTCTAACTTGGTTCACCCTATCCATCAGTGGAGAACCGGGTCTGAAAATATTGGTTGCCAGGAAACAAAGGAGGCCCATCCATGAATACAATTCTATCATTTAATAAATTAAATTTTCAAAAAATATGTAAGTGGACAATAATAATTATCATAACCCCGTAAAAGAATTAAAGATTTATAATATTTTCATGATAATAATTTTTTTCTAATATTTATATATTTTTTGATAATTTATATTTTAGATATATTGTCTAATCTCTAAGGGGGCCCACTTCCTCAGGGGCCCACTTGCCATGACAACCTGGCGGGTCCGCCTCTGCTATCCATTCATAACACCATGTTGTATGGTAAATCAATGGTCAACAGTCTGTTTACTTTTCATTCATAAACTAACATCATTATAGGTCTACCATTACTTACTACACTTACAAAATATACTTTACAATGTCAGCTGGTCATGTCTTCATTCATAAATAACGTTATTATTTGTACACAAAGATATGTCTTGATGTATTTCAGACATTATTGATTACTTCTGTTAACCATGTAAACCTACATGATAATTAATATTATATAACTGTTTACAAATATAGGGTAAAACAAAAATATAATCAAACAGCCCACGTTTCCAGATCTATACACTTTTGCTTTTAAAATTGTATTTTTTTTTTTTTTTTTTAAATTAGTTTGTGCTAGTAAATAATTAAAGGGAATTAAATGGTATATGTATGTTTTTGATTTGTTTGCAATGTTTCCAGGCCTTGGGGGGTCACGGTGGCTAAGTGGGGAAGACGCTGGCTCGCTAGCCTGGAGGTCGGGTGTTCGATCCCTGCATTGGCCGAGAAAGTTCATCCAGATTTTCCGGCATGGTTTCCCCTTGTCACTAGTGCAGGATGGAGGGCCTGACAAGAACAGCTGTCTAGTCGTTTGGATGGGATGAAAAACTGAGGACCTTGGTGTTCACATAAAAGATCCCTTGGCAGTTGGAATTCGATAATACAAGGGTAGGCTATAGTGCTGCTGCCCGGGCAAAATTTCCCTCATAGCACACTGCATGACGTATGCCCGTCTTCATTAGCCCAGTTGGAGCAGAACAGTAGGACGTTAAACCCCCATTTCATTTCATTTCTCCAGGTCTTTCCGTATAGCTATATAAATCTTTATGAAACCTTCTGGTGTATAACTATAGATAGGTTTGGACCCCAGTCACACCACTGGTGTAAGGGCAAGGCGGAGACAGGCCAGGCCAGGAGGTTCAAATTCTCAGTGTTCACTTCACTATTTCGCAATGTCGTGGACTATGGCACATTGTGGGATTTTATATATATTAATTCCTTTAATTTTTTATCATTACTAATTCCCTTTTTTTAACACTTTCACTCATTTAGCACAATAATTTCACACTTTTTAGCACACACCAATTTTATCCTATTCAGCACATCATGTGCTAATATATATTAAACATACATTATGCAAGAGCTAACTCTGCCTATTGCATGTCTTTCTTTAGGCCTGAAATGTTATATAAATTATTAATTAGACATTAATTAACAAAACAAGACCATAATCAACGCTCGATGACATCAGATACTCGAGATTTTAGATTAGAACGGTTCACCATTTAAAAATTTATTTCAAAAAAGGGAAAGTGAGGCTAAGTCTCAAATATACCAGTGCCCTGGTTACCACTATGCACTCATCTTGTCAAAACTACAAACAGTGATAACGTAGCTCATAAGGAAGTAATCTGAATGAAATTTTCAATATTTTCATTTTACATTATCTATTTTTGAACTATTATAGCGAGAATGGTCAGCTCTTTATCTAAATCTTACATAATGTATCTTTAATAGTTGTTCTGTACCTCCTGCAGTTTTTGATCACATATAAAATACCGATTTGTACATGTTACGTTTTAATCAAAGTTTTACGAGGTGTAGAAAAAACCCAATAAATAATATATTATAAGTAGATATAATTAGTGGAGGAAGTGACTTCGGTAGCATATATTATCATATATTAAACTAACTGTGTCAATATTTGTTATATATCTTGTGTACTATGATATATTAAAACCTAACAACTTATAACAAGTCTTTAATCCGTTTTATCTTAAAGGGTCACTTGATCATTTCCCACAGAACAAGGGTGAAATCATCAATCATCTGATATTTGAAACAATGGTGAAATCATCTGATGTAGGGTGATGAAAACATCTGGTGTGGCTGATATAGGAAACAATAGTGAAATCATCTGATATCTAGGTAAAAATGGTGAAATCATCTGATATTTGAAACAATGGTGAAATAAATGGTGAAATCATCTGATATATGTAACAATGGTGAAAATATCTGAAACAATGGTGAAATCATCTGATATTTTAAACAGTAGTAAAATCATCTGATATTGGAAACAATAGTGTCCCAGCAGCACCATGGCTTTCGCATTAGAATTTTGCCCGACAGACATGTATTTTAGCTACATCAGATGAGCATGACATCTTTTTCAAAAAATAGGGCAATGCTTAGTATCATTACAATTTTCTTCTACACCTTGAACTAACTGTATTTATCATATATTTTTAAGATTGAATACTTTGTAATTCTAATTCTATGGCATATAAATTGACTGACAGGAAAGTTCTCATTCAAATTCTCCAGATACATCAAACAGAAATATAATAAAATCATGCCTGAAGAGAAGAAATTCCTAGAGGGAGGACCTGGTAGCGTAGTGAACCAAAATGGGGTTGCATGGCTTTTAAATGTTTAAACTAATGAACACATAATATTTGCAAATAATTAGGGGGTGGGCGTGGGGAGGAGGTACTGAAGCCCTATATATAAGGAGAGAAATAGGGCTTGACACAAACTAGGTCATTTCCAGACTAAAATATGGTTCAATTTTATTCCAATAATTCACTTTCGCATGGGATCTTTAGCTGTAAGAGGAAACCAGAGGACTCTGACACCCTGGACATGCTTCACCAAAACCCTAAGTTTAAATTGTCTATGTCTGTTGAATGTGAAGAACATTGTGTTGCCTGCCAACCATGTTATGTTTATATTAGGTAGTAGATTGTTGAAAGTAATAAAATCTATATTGATCTCTA